CTTGCAAATGCAATGTCTCCATCATATGCCTCCCCAAGTCCTTCACTGGAAAGTACAATGGTAAACAAATAGAGTCTATAAAAGTAATTCATATCTAGCATCTTCAAAATCAATATTCAACATGTTATGATAAGAGATATTATGTGAGCAATTGGGAATGCTCTCCACGGTTCATGGCTGTTTATCAATTGAAGTTGATAATGATAAGATCCAGAGAACTACATACGTGTATTTTCTACATCCTTTATAAAATTTTAGACTTCTCTCTCTTAAAGATTCAGCACTTTCCTCCATGCATTGTATCTGTTCAACAAAGAATTTGAGGAGAAACAATATTAGGATACATCAAATTGGTTAAGAAAGGATCTATCAATCGTCATTGCACAAACTTCTAAAATAAATTATGTAAAGAAGTGATAAGACAAACATTTTTTATAAATGTGGGACAGCACAATGACCAATGATCACACATACTAGCTCTAACCACCACTAACAAACAATCTCAAAAAGAAGCAGTAAATTTCTGATTGTACAGGGAATTCCAGTTATCATATCACTCAACCAACAAGCAATGCATTATATTTCGGAATCTTCAAAAGATAATTGGATGCTTTACAAGAACAGAATATATCATTACAAGATTGACATCAACTTCCAATAATAGGGAAGAATGGATTGTTTGATATCAAAATACCAATATGACTTAGCATAGTAACAGGGAATAGATTGTTAAGTTGGAGAAGTAACCTAATGGAGCAATGCACTAAACAATCTATATAAGTTTAGCATAAGGGTAAGTTAGGTTTGCAGGTAGCAAGGGAGTGTGTTTTTCAGGGAGCAAAATTAGATGAATTTAGACGTGTCTGGTCTATCAGTAAAGGATGGGAAAACTTTCTTGGAGTAACATTTCTCCCCTGTTTAGGGGTTAAGTCCTCTTACCCCAGCTAGTAATGGGGTAACAAGTGATGACCTAAATCTCACCCTCGATGCCTCTCTGGGCACCCCTGATCAAGTCTGCCAAGTGCCAACCATCCTTACATCTTCGAATAACCTCAAAGACCAACAAACTGCAGATTTAACTCATCCGCATTCACTTCGAGATTCTAACATTTCTCTTCCCTATGTGCGGCAGTACTACAGACCAAAAATCTATGAAGGGAAACAGTAGCACATAACCTATTGCTAGAAAACAGAGAAGCCAATAAAGGGATCCACTTCTTTCCTTTTTGTAGGAATTGATTGAGCAAAAAGCTTGACACGAACATTCAGATTTCAGAATATTCACATTCCATTCATGCATGAAATCGAGCCTTCACTTTCTAGTATGTTACCTAACAAACACTAACACCACTCGATCAAGGTCAAAGATGAACGAAACCCTCTACAACTAACAACACATCAGTCGCACACCCTACCCTATGAACGGGCGTTGCATATACACACACAACACAGCATCGAAGTTAAATTACTGCAATATAAAAATAAAATAAAATAAAATACAAGTTTCGCGAGAAAAAAAGAGGAAGAGCGAGTAACCTGTTTGCGGAACATAGGAGAGTCATCGAGCTTAGCGAATTGCATTTTGGATTCGAACCTAGGATTGGCGTGTTTATTTGTGTTGATGTCGGTCTAAGAGTAGGTAAGGTTTAGCATTAATGCATCATCAATGCTCGATCTAGGAATCCAACTCTCCAACACTAAAACGACCATTTGCATCCCCAAACTCAAACCCTAGCACAGCACAGAGACAACCTTGGAGTTCGAGGTAGCATATGATTTGATTTTGATGGGCGTGTGGGAGTGAGTTGGTGTTATTGCTGCTTCTTTTTTTCTTCTCATGAAAATCAAGTGAAGTAGTGAAGGGAAAGAAAGAAAGAAAGTAAAAGTATATTGGGAATTGTTTAACGAAAATTTTCACTAATGAAACCAAAATTCTGGAATCCCATGTGTGTAACAGACACTCACTTAGATTAAAGTCACCCATTGAGTTCCTTTTCATGCACCTTTCCCTTTCTTGCCCCCCTTCTTTTTCTTTTTTATCTTTTTTATATCTTAATCATAATATTATAATGCCCAAGTAATTATTAGCATCGCATATTCGTTTTTATTTTCTTCTCCCAAACCAAAAATGAAAATTGCTTTGTTATTCTTTTTTACTACGAGTTAAAGATAAGGAAAAAAACAACGTTGTACGCTGTCGTACGAGAAGAGAGGAGAGAACGGCGTTAGTATTGTAATCTAATCTTGTATCAACTTACACCTTACCAAACCAGCAAGAACACCTTGTTTCATGGCTTTTGTTGCTTCACGCGCTACAGCGGAACGTGTGTCAATAATTCTTTTGTGTGTAAGGGATGGTTTGTGGGCCTAACCTCAGTTTCCCTCCATTTTCTCGACCGCGATTGGGGCCCACTCTCCCTCCCCCCAATACACCCTCGCATGCTCTTCAATAATATTCTTCTTTTTTAATTCAATTTTCCACCATTTTCTGTTATTTTTTATCCCTATTTTGGGAATTCTACACTTTTGCTTCTACACCCTTGTATCTATCTATATACTTACTATTTTTTAAACCTTTTCTTTAGTCTCTACTTTGTTTCTTATTGATTTTCTTCACGTATTGTTTTAGTTAAAAAAATATATAAATTATTTGACTTGTCCACTTGTAGATTAAATTTACCTTTATCTTATCTATAAATATGTTAAGTTTATCTTTAGTTATAATTGTATGTTAATTAATTAACCCTTGCAAATTATTTGAATATGTTTTCCTTTTAAAATTGCTTTCATTTTACTGTTTACTTAAGTTTACTTTTACTTAAAGTTATGTGTGAATTATAATATAAAAAAATTTGTTGAAATAGCATTTTACAATTTGCATGGCATAAAATGTCTTTAAAAAATAATAATAATAATAATAAATAGTCATTTTAATAAATATTTTATGCAAAGTCAATTATTTGACTTTAATCAAATTATTTTACCACTATCTAAACTTGATGGGAATCATTGTGAAGTAGTTTTTTCATTGAACTCACTATTATTACGTTGTAATAATTTTTACTTTAGTCATAAATCACCTATGAATTTCAAGTAAATTATTATTTAAGATCACTTTAAATATAGTTATAATTCTAAGTATTAACTATTACACATGTACTTTTTTATTATCTGACAATTTTAACAATTCTAATATATTATTAATTTTATGGACACATCATTAATATCATATAAACATTGGATACTTTTCTATATCTAAATAGTTATAGCGTCAAATATGCATAACAACAAATTATATATATATATATATATATATATATATATATATATATATATATATATATAAATGAAATCCATTGACACATGTATGTTATTTCTAAAAGTTCCTTATTCTAACCAAATGTTTATTGACTTTATTTTTAAGTATTTTTTACAAAAACATCATATTCAGAAGATTATCAGAACATTGTGAGTCTATAATCAATATTGTACAAGGAATTCATGTTATCATCAATCTCTTGCTACGCATTAATATCTAAAACAATTTATATGATCAATAATTTTTCCATACAAAAATTTATTTTTCATTGTTTAATATTAGAAATTTGGTTTAAAATCCCAAGGGAAATCTAAATATCCTACAGAAACATGCAAATTCAATCATTGAATATTAAAAACATGATCAAATATTTCTTATAACTCACTACCAGTGCCATACAAAATTCAAAAGCATTCATTGTCAAAGCATTTTATCTTTCTCTGAAACACAAGCCATATAAGAAATTTAATTTACTAAGATTATGAACTCAAACTCTTGAAACATAAATTATTCTGTGGCCACTTGATAAACGTACCTTGTCATCAAGCAACCACATGGAATCGGAGCGATATTTCATGCCTAACCTTTAAAAAGGAAAAGACTTCAAATTAGTTAACAAATTAGTTCCAAAGGACTCTCTCATAGCATTGGAAACAAGTGAAAGGAAAAAATCATCGTGCCTTTGTAATGAGATGGACGAGGAAACGAAGTGTGTTGTTGCTAATGTGCTTTGCATAGGTAAATAAAAAGCACCAAATGCCATGGAAGTAGTCGTTGAGGGTGCACAGAAAGCAAAATTGTTGTACCTAATGGAGCTGCTAGCGAGGTTTTAGAGCCTAATGATATTAATTAAAAAAAAGTGATAATAAAGAAAGAAGGAGAACACATTGGAGCATTATTTTTTTTTCTTTTATAAAGACTAGGTTGAGTAATTTTTTCAAGGATTAAATGAGATTTTATTAGAGTTAAAAAAAATACTAATAAGTTATACATGTGCACTTTAACATTATACGTGTGCACTTAATTAAACAAAGCTAACGTGTCAAATGAAAGTAAGGTTAAAAGATTATTTAGTGAGTTTTTTAAGAATCAAATTAATATTTACAAGGATTTTTCTAAGAAATGAATATTGATATAAAAATATTTATTAAATATAGCTTGATGCCTAACAGTCAAGACTGTTAATAAGGAATTCATTTGCTCTAAAATGCGTGCCCAATCTTAAATAACAAATGAACAGCTAAGCCTGAAAAAGAAAGTCCATAATTTTGTAAAAGGATGACGATGTACTAGAGAAGCAAAATATTGTAAGAACACGCAATGAAAGACAATTAATATAAATTCATCTTAATTAGTAATATCATCTAAGATAATATATACAGGTGACAGACAGGTAGAAAAGAGCAATCCTTTTTTTAATGATTTAAAAGAACCACATCAACTTAATTAAAGCCATGAATCTACCAAAATATTGGACCAAAACAATTTAACCTAAGGTTAATCGGGTCTGTACCACTTTTTGCCTTTGGTGCTGTAAGTATAGCACTTTAATACATGGAAAAGTTAAACGGGTTGATCCGATGAACAAGACTTCTTTTCACAATAGTATTGATAACCCAATACAAAAAAATTACGTATAAATGTGTGGAAAGATTACTTGTACAAGAGAAGCAAAATATTGCAAGAGCACGCAAAGAGAGACCACTATAAAAATGTACCTTAATTAGTAATATCTTCTGTACAACCGCTATTATTGACCTAGGAAAGATTCATATACCTCAATGAAAGAAGAGAATAAATAAATGCAGTAACTTCCAAATTTGTGTATAAAATGCTATAGTGGCAGTAATAACCCACCAAAAAAGTGGCACTAAGAAGACAGAAGATAAAAAAGTGGGTACTGGTGTGACATTCATCTACTAGAAGCTATCCTGAGATAAATTATGGGAACCACTATTCTGAACTCCCAACTGTTATGTACACTATTCTATTCTGATCCCTCTTGCTCTACAATTTATCAGCAATTCTCCCTAGAGCATCTGCAAGCTTATCAAGTACAGCAACTATGGTACTTGCAGTGTCTTTCTGCTGCTGGCGATCCAACTGGAAATTCATGTTCTGAGCTTCAAGTTGATCACGTAGCATTTTGCCATTCTTTTCTAAGACATCAATTAATTGACTTTGTAAAATTTCCTCTTCTCCATCGGTTGCACATCGCTTCCTCTTCTGTCCCCCTTGAGAGGTAGAACCCATTTCTGGATTTGAGGCTGGCTGTTTCTCATTGGTACCACCTAAGGAATTAAAGAACGTCAAGACAAATTGAATTTAAAAGAATTAATGTCATCAGTTAACTCCTTGACACTGTGATTGTCAAACCAGAACCTTTTGATCCTATTCCTATACCTATTATATGAAGCTACACCCTAGCTAAGGCTCAAAAGTTTGTGCCTACGAAACAGCTTGACATATACTAATAGAGAATAACTTTCTTTTTGAGACATGAATTGTGAAAGATAGTAGCTTATGCTATATGGGTAGGTATAGGGTGTGAAATATTAAAGAAAAAGTGACAATGAGACCTAAAGTGCAATTCAATGACTTTCCCAGAAATTTGAAAATGCATGTATAAGCAGCATTACTGAGGCAAATATACGAGTAGACATCATTCACATGTAACTTCAATCGAATTCATTTTGTAGAGACTACGGATACATGATTTATATCTCAGCTTTCAAGATAGTTTTAAGTAAACAATAGTTTCAATTCCTGATTCCAAAAGTTAAAATAAGGTGGTTTATTTCAAGCCTATTACCATTTTCATTCAGATAACGCATCATTTTTGTTTGTATTAGAGTAGACAAATTAGATATAAAACATTAGATTTGGGTTCCAGCAAAAGCTACATGGTACAAGTATGGGTAATAAAGGAATGAAGAAGAAAAACTGTATCCTGGCATTACTGAAATTCCAAATGTAAAAGCAGAAACTAACGCAGAAATGAGTAACTAATTAACTTCACTTGTACGCACTTAATTAGAATGCAGCTGCGACAGGAATCAGCAGCAGCAACAGAAACAATGGGAAACAAACACACAAAATAATGGACAAGGTAGCAAGTTGTCGCCAATGAGTTTTAACTTGCTTTCTATAATCACCGAATTCACATATTTTGAAGACAAAGAAAGGACACAGAAGTAGCTTCCATATTTTTGTTTGGCCATCTTGTCATTGACATTGGATGCCCTTTAACTAACATAGGCACTTGGGTTAGGACCTACAACATCATCTTGGTCCGCTCAGATGACAATGGGCCTTAAGTTTCAGGGAAAAATATCAAAGCTGTCTCCAGAACAGAACAATAATCCATATAGGAAACAAATATAAGGTTTCAACTCTCAAATGAGCACGATGGCAGTGTTAAATTCTAATCTTAACACTAGACACGTGGTTTTCCATCTATCATCAGATGCATTAAGAATAAGAACTCTATTACCTTGAGCATTGCCTTCCCCTTCGCAGCCTTGGAGGTGCAGTTGATATTGCTTCTCTGTAAACAAGGAAAAGAATATCAAGGAAAAAAGAAAGAATTAAAGAGTGCCACATAGGAATCCCAGTACCTTGCCCCCAAAGCTTCCAACTGTACAACAAGACATCATTGCCAGAATCAAATAATAAAATAAAGAAAAAAATCACTAAAAATTAGTATTTCAAAATTCACTAAAAAGTGTCCTCAAAGCCATGAATGGCAGTAATATACCTAGACACTTGCCAACTTCACGAGAGACAACACAACATTAGTATATACCAAAAAAACGGGATAACAACAATAACAACAACAACAAAAAATATCAGCTAAATATATTAAACTATACCATAATGCTTAACTTTGACCTCTAAATCTTTCTCAATGATTTCAAGATTTCCTCAGTCTCCTTCCTCTAGTAATTGACCAACCCATATACTCTTCTAACCGGAACTTCTATAGATTTTCTCTACACATAAACAAGCCATAAGACAAATTTCTACCTTCTATTCATTTTACAACATATCCTACCTAATTTTTTCTATAATGCAATCATTCTTGACAAAAAAATAAAAGAAAAGTGGAAAAAATAAAAACAACAACAGGATAATAGGAGTTCATAAAATCACAAAGGGTATCCAAAATTCAACTTAGAAACGAACCTGAGATAGGAACAGGAGCAGGAACATCCTTAGCAGTGCCCAAAACCTCGTCCTTCTCACAATCCGAGAAGAGCCCATCTTCACCACCAACCCTCCGATTACTATCATACAGGTGCACCTCCTCATCGACCACCGTCGACGGAGCTTCTACCGGCGGCGGAGGCGCCGTAGACGGCGAATCGAGAATATCATAGACTTCCCTATCGAAATAACCGGGCAATTTCCTCTCCCTTCTCAAATCGTTCCTCATAAGCCAAAACGACTCCGTTTCGTCCCTCGCCTGAGATTCCCACTCCTTGATCTTCTTATAATCGCCGGCGAGGTTGCTCCACCGCTTCCGGCACTGAACCGGTTCCCGGTTCACCCCGTGCTTCTTGCAATACGAAGACACCAACGCCCATTTCGGCTCGCTCGAACCGAACGCCGAACCGCCCCCACGACCCGGCTTGAACCGGCTCTCCGCGTCGCTCTTCCCTTGAATCAGAACGAGGATCTCCTGCCTCGTCCACCGTGGCAGCCGCGCCGCCGGCCTCCCGTCGTCGCCGTCTACGGCGGAAGACGGTGGAGCGCCGTTACCCGCTCCGTCTGGCTCGCCGTCAACGGAGTTGGGATTGGAAGGATTGTCCAAAGCCATAAAGAAAGGGCTTTATGATGACACGTGACTCGCACGTGGTGTTTTGTGACGGTGCCTTTAGTAATGTCCGTTACGGCGTTAAGGGAAGAGAGGGTTAGCTCAATAGCTCATGGTTTTCCTCCGTAAGAATGAAGGAAAGAAGAAAAGGGAAGAGAGATAGAGAGATAGAGAGAGAGGAGAAAGAGAGAAAAGGGTTTTGTGGCTTTTGCTAGTGAAAATGGGGTTTTATTTTTAATTTTTTTTTACTGGCTGTAGTGTAAACTAAACAGGTTCTTGACTCTTAACCCCTTAATAAGGGTCTTTATTTTATTTTTATTAATAATTATTATTGATTACTATTTATTGGGGTCATATCCTTATCTTTAATTCTCAATTAATGGGATTTTCTTTGTTTGCAAAGGTTACTTGTTGGGTTGGTTTGACATCAAATTCCTCAAACAGCACTTTCATTTCATTGTCTATCCTTAGTAGTATTTTTCCAAGTCCTGTTTTTGGTCATTTTCTGAGGGATGAGATATGAATTGTGGCTTTCCCTTCCTGTTTAGGGGTTCTATGTAACGTGTAAAATACCACTACAACCTCTTGATGTTACTATGGGCAGGGTGCATTTTCTCTTTTAACCACCATATCTAATGCCCCTTTTTCTTTCTTTTTTCAAAGATGGTTGAAAATGAGAGAGAGAGAGAGAGAGAGATTTTGAACCCTTCAAAATCAAAATCTGCCATCAATCAAAGGAGAATAATACCGAATCCCCTTTTAAATAGTTCTTTTTCATATTCACATAAAAGCATTACTCTACGCCCATATGTGATGTGTGGACCATGAGTTGACAAGGGCATGCTACCCTACCACTCAGTAATCCTTTCTTTGCTTTCTCAACCTCCCTTATCTCATCGAATAATTTCACTCTAATCTTTGCTTAATGCTTAATGCTTAATGTTTGTGCTTATGGATGGCCCCCTCCATTAAAGCCACTTTCCATTTTTTCTTTCTTTGCACTTTCACAAAACCTTCATTAACCCATTCATACCCACTACTCTCACACTTTACACTAAATAAATTATAATTTCTCGCACGCCTATTCTGTAAGGTCTGATCCCTGTATTCAAAGAAATTTTAATCATTCAATTACTATTTATTAGCTATCACACAAAAATTTTACTTTCTCTGATAACACTAAACACTAAAAGTAACCATATATTTCTACCAAAATAAAGTATGCATCATTTTGGATTTTGATAAAGTTTATTTATTTTACAACAACGTACAAAATTAATGTTAAAGAAAAAGCTATTATAAAATATTTTGAAATTACTTCGAAAATTCATTTATAAGATTTAAACTCATTCTGCCGACAAAATCTTTTTTTTTGTGTGTGTCATTTCTCACTATTTCTATTTGACAAATAAAACCCCGATTTTCTAAAATACAATCAGAAATCGCAGGCAAAACTCCATCTAATGCTATTTTTCTATGCATATAAATTCTAAAATAAAACCTTAAACCGTAATTTTATCTCTAAAATATTAAATGATTTTAAAATCATATCATATCCCTTTTGTTAAACTTCGCAATCGATATTGACTTGGAGCTTCAACTTGCGCAGACTTTCCTCACTAATAGACTAGTATTTAAAATATGTACAAAAGAAATTTTTAAAAAAAAGAACTAGTATTTAAATTTTGATTATGTGAAAAAGTTTGAGTCATAAAACTCTCCAACTACGACGAATTCTTTTAGCAAATTATACAACACCTACCTGTATTTTCACTATGTTTGTGTTAAATCCCTCTAAATCACTTAAATAAAGTTATTAACTTTAATAACAAAGCTATTTGTATTTTGCATATTAACCCCTACAATTGATCAACTTATTCCCTTAATTTTCTTCTAATATTCAAAATCCCATAAAATTATACTTTAAGAGAGAGACTGTGAAAGCTTTAAACTATCTTCAATGTTAGTAAAAAATGAGTTGTTTTTTACACCTATACTCAATTTCTTTAAGTTAAACAGGAAGGTCACAAAAATGGGCACCAAGTTGGATGAATCAACTATTGAGGTTGTGAAATGTGAAATAGAGGATTAGTAGAAGTTGGATATCATATTCTGAATCCGATTTCCCTTATGTGGGAACCATGAATGGAATAAATAACTAAAATAAATCCATGACCATGCAACTGATACAACATCAACATTAAAAATGTGTTTGAATCATATAAATAATATGAATGAAGGATTGCAATAAGCAAATGCATTTGGAATTTTAATGGAAATGTTATTCATCAATGACCTGACTCATTATGTTGTGTAAATGAGATTATATATTCTCCGTTGCTATACACGGACTTTGACTTTTTTGACACAACTTTACTTAAATGAGAAAAGAGTTATTCTTAATTTTAAGATTCAATAGATTAAATATTACTTGGAGTAGCTTTCTATAGGTTGACTTTTAAAACAATTAACTCCTTTTAAAAAATATGTTATTTATTTTTTTATTAAACAACTTTGTTAACTTATTACCTAAGAAAATAATTAGTATAAGTTTTAGTTATCAAATACATTCAAAGTAAACCAAAAAACATAAAAGAAAAAAAAAACAAGAAGAAATGGTTAAAAATGAGCATCCGATGGTTTTTTCATATGATAAATATTGATATAGTCTATTGATTTTTATTAAGGTAAACTTAATATTTTAGTTCTTTAATTAAAAAAGTTAATAGACAAAACTAAAAAAGAAAAGAAAAGAAGTAGAGTTAAAAAAACTTAAATTAAATTAAAAGAGTAAAAAATAAAACCAAAAGGTTATATTACTACACCCTTTGTGAAGTTTTGACACTAACAAATACTAAATGCACATTTTTTTAATCCAGTGAACACTTGAGAGAAGTTGTGACACTCAGAAAAAAATACTAAATAAGTGCACATTTTCTTATTCAATTACCAAGTATTGGTCATATAAACTGTTTTATGTTTGGATGCCATATTTAACATGTGTTTATTTTAAAACAAATGTTAGTCATTCGTTAAATAATTATAAACAAAAACCTACTTAAAAATATCATTAACCTTCTAAACTGATTAAAGGAATAACTTTGTCAACTTAATTGTAGGAACTAGAACAATTATGTATTCATTGACTTATAACATTTTTTAATGGGAGACTGTCTTCTATATAGTAAACTAGAGAAATTAAAGGATAACAATGAAAACTATAAAATGTAATCAATACAATTTATGAAAGGCATATTATTAGTCTTCTTAACAATTAATGCACCATAAAATATTAATCTATATTTGAAGAATAGATTTGACCCAATGCTTCAATTTTTGTTGTCCCTTTAAACCAAATTAAAAATGATAAGCACAACAATGCACCCTAAATTGAGGTTAAATCGGTATGGCATGAAGAATCATGACTCAATTTATATTTAATTTTAATGAAAATAATTTTAAATTATTAAATATGATTAATATGTACAGAGTTAAATTAGTTAACATTAGGTGTCAATTTTTAATATTAATTTAATTATTGATTTTAAGTTTTTTATCAGATAAATAAGTTTTATACAAAAATAAAACTGATAAAATATTATTTTATTTTAACATATAATATATTTTAAAATACAAATAAATATTAAATTTTTGATAATATATTTACAAATGTATAAATTATATAAAATTTAATATATATAATAATTAAAACAATATAAAATATTTAAAAGTCTATAAAATATTATTAAATTGTGTTACACGGTTTTGTATATCTTGATTTTTGATTTTTGATTTTTTTTGGTCAGGAGTTACAAAAAGGAAGGCTCGTGAAAGAAAACCCGAAGGCCCCAAAACCCAATATTGGTTGTGACCAAAAATAGAAAAGCACAGATTCAAACAGAAACGTTAGTTTTGTACCCTTTTAATGTTAAGGCCTTGTCCTATTTTTACCTTAAGCTGTATATCTCTTTCAGGGCTTAGGCCCGTTTTTCTGTTGAACTGGGCTTGGCCTTTTGGGCCACCTTTAATGTTAATTGAATTTCAGTTGACCAAACAGCAAAAGACTCAAACGGTGACGAAATCAAGAACAGAAGCACTTGTGAGTGTTCAACATGAAAGAAAATGATTTGACCAGAAGTGTTACTTTTCGGATTTTCTTCCAAGTTTTATAACATTCATCCCTGAACTCATAAATGCTTAGAAAAGCTTTTTTTAAGGAAAGATTATTCATTTAAAGAAAAATCTCTTTAAATAATTTTAAAATATTGTTTAACTTGCATTGTCTGTTTTCAATTGACCTAAGCTATGCATAATCTTCTTGTGAAGTGGTGATCTATGCTGTATTATTATTATTATTATTATTATTATTATTTTGTTGGGAAAAATAGTGTAAAAAAACTTACAATATGTTTAGTTCTTATATTTTATTAAGAAATTTAAACCTCTATAAGAATAAATTAGTTTCTTAGCTATTGTTAACTATAAATTGGGTGCATCTAGTCACAAATCATTGAAAATTGATTAATTTTTTTTTCAAAAAAATAATTAGCAGCTTCAATCTTTTGAGTGTACCTCACATATCTAAAATGAGAATAAAGAATATCAGTGGTTGAAATAGACCTATCCAAATTCATGGGCCAGACTATGTTTGAATTGACAGGTATTGGCCAATGGTTACAGACAAAATAGCTTAGAGATAGCTAGGAGGCAAATGCTGCATATTAACACATTTTTTAATATAAACCTAATTATAAATTTATTTTTTATATTTTAATTTCTATATCCTTTGTTTTTATTTATCCCTTGTAAATTTTTAATTATTGAAAATTGCACCTTCATCTTAAATTTTATCTCATAATTAATAAAGCATATCATAATATTGATATATATATATATATATATATATATATATATATATTAGTAAATAACAGTTATATAATATATTAAATGTTAAAGTGATAACTTAGAGCATTTACTTTTTGTTTTTATTTTCTTTAAATACTTTTTTTTATCATTCTATATAAATTAATACTACATTATACTTTTAGTATAAACATGTTAATTACTATAACTCATAGTGAATAACTGAAATTAATGACGATGATAAAAAAAAACTATAAAAACTAAATGTAAAAAATTAAAATCACACATAAAGTGAAGTACAATAATAAAAAATATAACCAACCCTCTTAAGTGGCTTTCTTTTGTTGTATGATTCTAAAATTCATCATGAACAATTTTAGGCCAAAAATCGTCGACTGAGATTTTGATAGTTTTTTTTATAATTTTTAATATTTTTTATAAAAATTGTCATTAATAATTTTTTGACACTTTATTATTATTTTTATTTTTAAATTTCTGTACTTACACTAAAAATTGTTACTTACAATTTTAAATTTTCATATTTTTATAATTTTAAAAAAATATTATATTTCAGTATATATAAATTCTAAAAATATCATATGTAAAAAAAAAGTCTCCCATTCACATGTATATAAAGTAAGAAATTAATATTTTTTATTTATTTACCAAATAACTTGATTCTCACTCTCTATTGATCAAAAGGACACAAAACTACATTTATTAATAAAATGGCAAAAAAAGCATTACAAGATTACGTAACTAACATATTTTGTGGGATGTTAGTTAATATTTATTGAGTGTATTATATATATTGGAGGGATGTTAGAAGCATGTGAAAGTGACGTTGACAGAGTCTATAATGAAGGTGGCACATGAAAGGACGGTGATAGCATGCGAGAGAAGAACTGAAGAAGAAGAAGAAGAAGGTGACAGTGGTGACGCCCACATGCAAATGGAAATGGAAATGGAAATGGAAATGCATGCGCATGCAATCCTATTCCCATGCAACTTGCAATTGCTCCTTTGCGGCTCACATGTTATGCAATTTCCATCAATCAATTCATCTGCACGCCAACACCCATCTTTTCTGCTTTATTCCTCTCTCTTACTCTTAACATTTCTTATTCATCTCTCCTTTCTAAATGCGTTCATTGAACGTTCCTTCAAACCATTTTTTCACCGCTTTGTTCTCTGATTTTCTCACTGCACCACACCTTTCAATGTTGCTCGCGTTACAGATACATAATCATTACGCCCCATACCATTATCAGTGAAAAGTTTAGTACCACTCATGCTCTATGGATGTCACCCTTTAAGTTACCATTAATCATATCTTCACCCATGTTCAGAATTTAGTTAAATTATAAACTTTTTTAATTTAGTTCAAAATTGCATATTATTAAGCTGAAACAGTTGACTAGAGAAAAAAACAAAGGCATGGGAGCTAGCTAGCTTAGCGGTATCAGTAGGTGGTAAATGCTCCACATAAAGCAGCCATAATACAAGCCACATAAACCGCACAACTTTAGACATATATGTCAGCATGTGACATGATAGTGATAAGATTCAAACCAGATTTTATTCCAACAATAAAGCTCCTAGAACTTTCACTGCAATTTTCAACCCAAAAATGAAGATACAAACATGATGCTGATGTTGCCACACACCACTACTTCCATTTTTCATCATATGTTAATCCCCTTTTATAGTAAATTGACTTGGTCACCCCCACGTCAAATAATTTATATTTATGTCATCTTTATAATGTATATACTGAAGAAAAAAATAAAATAAGTGATATGATTTAAAACATATTTTGTAAAAATATTACATGAACAACATAATTTCACTAGTTAATTTTGTAAAAAGATACACCATTCTTGTAAAATATAACATAAAATAACACCGCCATCGTCTTTTTAATAAAAGTTGAATTTTAATGCAACTTGGATGAATTGAAATTATGAAACATTTTTAAAACAATTAATTTCAGATCATGAAAAAACCACAGAGCTCAATTCAAATTAATTTCAAATCACCAAATAATTGGTTTATGACACTTTCTTTTTTACTTACACCACGCAATTATTTGTGATCATGCCTTTGCTTTGTACTTATCTCTCTTTTCTTTTTCTTTTTCCCTAACTATTTGAATGAAAGAAACAGCTGTCACAAAACTTGGCTCGGCTTGTTTTAGGATATAAGGATAGGCCATAGGTTCAAGTCATCACTCATGACAATGAATCATAAAGATGAGTTCAATCATGGGACGAAACTGAAAGAAGATATTTTTGATGGAACGGGCTATGATCATGCGTGAATTCAGGGACAAATGAGGACAGTATATCCTGCATGCATGCGGCGTACAACAAAACTAAATTAAATGTGTGTTTAGATACATAATTTATTTTAAATATAATTTATATCATAAATTTAATGAAATGTATTAAAATGTTTTTATAAATTTATCAAAAAAGTTATAAATTTAAATTAAAAGCAATTTATAAAAACTATAAAGTATTTTTTAATTATTCATAAAATCTTCTCATCATACTTTAAATCTTGAGGTGGTGCATGCCCTTCATCCACGACTGATCCACTTTGGAGATCGAGATTGAAATGAATGAAGCAAATTGGAAACATATGGGATATAGACAAGTGAATTGATCCTTGAAAGCAATTAATAGTTCTCAGGTCACGGTGCACTATGGAGACAAACAATGATTACTCACTGTGTTGTTCACCATTTTTCCAATATTAATCTTAATTGAATTAATGGTTTGCTAGATATCTAGTTGCATTCATAGGCAAACCAACTCCAGTGTCGATTGGCTCGTCAATCTAAGTCCATGTTATGGTGACGATATGTTTTAAAAATTATCTAAAAAATTATTTAGGGGAAACATAAACATTTATGAAGTCCATTGCTAAGAAGATTACGTATATAATAACTGAGGATATGTTATACCATCTGACATCAATTAAAAATACGATTAAAATACTTGTCCTTGTTGACTTCATCAATCCTCTTAGAAATTAACTTTTAATCACCTAGTTTATTCACAGATGTAATAGTACAATTCTGAAAAGCATTATCGATTTGTATACTTCCCGTAATATTTATTATGAAAATTAGATGACTAACATTAAGTGTAGGAAAAACTCTAAGGAAAATACCATACAATATAACGTAATGTAATTTTTTACAAGTGAATTTATAAAGATGACTCTAGTGACAAATGTAAGTTTGGTCTTAGTAATCAATTAAAGTGTATATTTAATTAGGAAAAATAAAACTTCAAAGATATGTTATTAATCCCCCATATTAAAGGCATTGAAAAGTCACTTAATCTAATATTTTTATTTGATTAACATTCAATACTTTGTATAAGAAATAAAATTTTAAACTATTTCAATAAATAGAATAATTTAACTAAAATATTTTTATTATTTATTTTCCTATTTACTGAAAAATTGATTAAAAATATTATATTTGTTATTTATTTGAAGATAGAATTGAAATAAAAGATTATTGTTCCATTAAAATCTTAAAATGTTATTTGATGTGAAAAATATTTTTATATTAAAATGATAATTAATTTAAAATAGAGAAAAAAAAGGAAAACTACATAAACAAAGAGGTGTGTCTTTCTTTTGGCCACGTATAATTGTGTCACTATCATTATTCTTTAAACGTTATGAAGCCACTTGTTCCGAAGACAATTGGGGTAGAAGAATATGGCATGCGATATGGATTTCCTCTTGCAATAGATGTGAGATCTGTAAAGGAATTTGAATCATATATACTACCATAAAGTGAACATCCCATTTGTATATAATGCACTAATTTTGTGATATTTTATAATTTTTAATAAAGAATTATAATAATTTTTATTACGTTCTTTTAAATATAAGTTAAGAAACATGTTAAATAAAAATTCAAACGAGAGTCAATCATGATGAATTATGAAAAAAATAAAGTTGGGAAAAGAAAAAGAGCAAATCTTTAATTTAAGAATCACAACAAAATAATTATTTTTAGCCTTTAAATATACTTGGTATGAGTGGGTTATATACCAGCAGAAATATGACCATAAGATCATATTCATAACATAAAGAGCATAGAGCAGAAAACTAAAAGTGGATCCAAGAAGGCATGGAAAGCTTCCACTATCTTCACAAGCATCAGAGGCGAAAGAGGACACAGTAGATGAGTTTGATGCTTATGCATCTTCTTGGTCTTCTGAAACTGACATGTCTGCCATGGTTTCTGCTCTTGCTCAAGTTATGGGCACTACCAATCGGAACCCCCTCATGCCACAAACAACAACCTCTTTTCCTGTCTCAACTTCAATGGTCAAAGAAGAACCTCATCCATACCCATCTCAACCTGCTCCAGATCAAGGTTTGTTTTTGTCTTTATTTCAATTTACCATGTTTAATTTCCTAAAGTGACATAATTTATGTTATAGTGGGACTCCGTTTTTGTTTTTTTCTATAAAAGGAACACTTTCTATTATTTCTTTAAATTTCATCAATGGAAGTGGTGGAGATTTACTACTTATAAGAATCTAATTTTTTGGAATTTGTGATACTGTATTCTTGTTGTATTGTGATCTATCCATTCTTGTTAATTAAATTCAAACAAGTATATCCTAATCTCCTCACGAATGACAATATATGTCACAATCTTCATCCACCAACAACGATCTGTGATGTTTACTCCTAATAACTATAAGGTAAAGTTCACTTTTTTTTCTTTCAAAGATGCTCAAGTTACATTATTTTTCTCTCATTATATATACTTTTGAAAAATCAAATTGTGTTTTTAAAAAAAAAAATTGAAATGTGTTCATTTCAATTTATTTTAATGTAAAAACAAACATTTCAAACCCCATTTTAAACGCCCAGCTATCAACTTTAGATCTTTAAAAATGGAAATAATTTTAGATCATCATAATGTATTGAATTTGAGACTTTATCCAAAATCTTCATATCACCTTTTAATGCTGAAAAATTAATAGTTTGCATTCACACACACTTATTATAAACAACACTGAGACTTCTAAAATAAAAACTGACCCTAAAAGAACTGAAAGTAGAACACACACAAATTCTCAATAGAAATAAAATATTTTAAGAAGCTAATCATTTTTCCAATAAATAAATAACAGAGTTTTGATACAGTAGTACTTCTTTATACCATGTAATACATGTCTAATTTACCTTTATAGATATCAAGTAATGTATTGGATGTTCCACATATCACGTTAATAAAATTAATGTCATACCAAATAATTCATATGTTGCTTGATCACTTTCGGGAAATAAAATATTAAGTTATTTTTAAAAGAAAAATGTTATAGCTAGTAATTTCATTAATATTTTGTTTGGTTTATTTGGAAGCTTGCATAATTAAGCGAATAAATATAATAATAATAATCTTCTGACATTGATGTTATTTAGAAATAAAATAAAATCAAAACTGAGAACCCTTCTCAATTAGTATGAGGCACAGCTGGAAAACTTTAGTAAATAGAGAAATTCAACGCATATCCCATATTCAAGTCGTCGTGACATTTCTTTTTAATTCTTATCTGCACCTGAGGAATACTGATGAGAAGGTAACATCAACGCCAATTGAAACAAATTAAAAGTACTTCTTGACTTAACAAAATAATAATTATGTTTGCACACAATTTTTTTTATAAATTTTTTACACATGGAAAAGGAATAAAAAGAAGAAGAAATAAATATAGAAAAATAAACAAGGTGATAAAAATGAAAATTATAAAAATAAAACTGTTAAAAAAATAAAGTATGAAAAATATAACTCAAATAAAAACTTGTGCACTTGTCATTCCAAGCGGCACTGGTCACATACTTTTTATCTATCTTGAACTCTTTTTATTTATTTATTTATTGTTATCACATTACCTCTTTTTATTTTTTTATCTATCTCTACCTACCATTATTAGTATATACATCCCAGGGTGCCAACTAATAGTTGCTGTGTTTTTTATATGCATTTGATTCTACTTGTCTTTATGCATAGAATGCATGGGTGTGGATTAAGGAATTGCATACTCCACATTTATAATTATGGGTTCTGTGGGCAGAGCCAGTCTTGTAGAAACAATACAACGTAATAAACTTTTGTTTTTCTTACCTTGTCTAGATATTTTTACATTTCCATATTATTAGTAATATATTATAGAGTTTCATTATTTAAAGTGAGATAAATAACTTATTCTATCTTAATATGAACACATCACCTTCCCCAAAAAAGGCAAAAAAATATCTAATTTTAATAGTATATAAAAGATTTTCTTATATCACATGCTATCTTTTATTATTGTAATTTTAAAGATGTTTTGCCATGATGACTGAAAAGGGTTCTCAATCTATTTTTAGACACGTGTAAAACTTACACATTATAATATATTTATGCAGAAGAGCACATATTCTATGGTTGCAAAGCAACAACGATTAAATTGTAGTGAAAATAATTTGGGGTTCTCCCTTTATTGATTTGCATGTGTTGGTAAAGAGAGCACAAAGAAACCAAGGTACAGAGGAGTGAGACAGAGACCTTGGGGTAAATGGGCAGCAGAAATTCGTGACCCCAAAAAAGCAGCTAGAGTGTGGTTAGGAACATTTGAAACAGCTGAGGAAGCAGCCATTGCATATGACAAAGCAGCACTCAAGTTCAAAGGCACAAAAGCTAAGCTCAATTTCCCTGAAAGAGTTCAAGGTAACACTCATGTTGCCTATTTACAACAACCTTCAGAAAACACCAACGTTTTCCCTTTCCATGCAACTTCTACTGCCACTTGTGCTAGTGGGTCTGTTTCCTCTGTTGATGCTATTGCTCCTACTTCATCATCATTGTCCACACATGAACATGATCACCAAGTTTTCCCAAATCTGTTTCAATATGCACAAATTCTTTCAAGTGATGATGCTGAGTTCCCCTATTACACTTCCCATCTTTTCAATCAACGATTACAACAGCAACAACAACTACTACTACAACAACAACAACAACCTTTCAATTCTCAATCACCCTACTTCTACAACCAGCAACAACATTATGATGATGAAGGGCATGGTCACTCAGATCACTAGCATGGTTTTAATTTGTGGCCCATAATTGCAATTGCGGTTGAAATACTACCGTTTTTTTGAGGTCTTTTGTAATCACATTCCAATAACATTGACCGTATTGGCCACAATTGTTCACAATTTTCCAAAATCAAGATTTTTTAGGTGTTAGTAACCTTAACCGCAAAACCTTGATAAGAGCTGTGTATCTGTCAATTTTGCTGTAGAAAGAGTCAGGGATTAATGTATTTTTCTTAAGCGTGCATGAGACATGGACCCCACATTTTGTTTCATATTTAATTATGAGTAATGCTAGCTATTCGGTATGGATAACTCCTGTTGAGAAGTGCTTCGTGTTATTTTTTAATCCATCCAAAAGCCATAGAGTGTTGTGAGAAAATTTTTTTATAATAATAATAATGTAATACAAGAGTTATATTAACAGAAATTAATATATTATCAACCTGTTAATTTATGATCTTTTTTAGTTGGTTCAGTTGTTATTAAACTTGTTAATGAAAATTTGATTATTGTATCACAAATGTTATGTTTTTTTCAATATTTTGTGATTAGCAAGTTGTACTTAAAAAAAATAGATCTACATGTAAAGGAATCGTACCTTAATTTAAAGTAAGGAAAGCTCTGGGGGGAAAAAAATTGTAGAATAATCCATCCACCACTTCCAAAAATCATCGCAATTGCTCTTGACATGGATAGCAGAAAGATTGATCCAATATGTGTAGCCACAGCATTGATCTACTTACCCATTAAAGATATTAAAGTGTTTTTATCCTCAGAGATATTGAACGAGCTATATTGAGTATTGAATAAGCTCAAACATTCACACCAATCCAAATATCATGCAAAAAGAGAATACTACTCCCATTGGCAAGTTGTTTTGTATCTCATCAGTTTAGCTGGCCCAAAGGAACCTTCTTTATAATTAAATGCTACAAATAAATATTGTGTTTAATTTTCACCCACATATAATATCTGTTGTTCTTTTTTTCTCTGTCTTTTCACTCCAGATGTATACATGCAAATGGATAGGTACAAGCTTTGTTTTCCAATAAACAAAACCTAATGAATCGTTCATTAGACGGAACTCTGAGTTTCGAGAAATTAAAGTGGTGAATTGATTGAAGTATCTTTTGACCTGTTCCTTTGCATGCTTCCTTAATTATATTACTGTTTATGATACGAAGTACAGCATAGGACGTGAGATATAGAAATATTGGTCCAATGTTATGAAGCAGTAATCATGTCGCATGCTTGATACGGAAAGTTCTATAGAGTATGGCTTTATGTATTTGGAGTTCAGACGTGGCACCTACCAATCATCAGATTCAATTTTCCTTTAATATTTTTGTTTCTTTATTTATTACAAAAAAACTTAAGAAAAAAAATAAATTAAAAGCATAAATGATATAATTAATGAGAGAAGAGATAAAAAATTAGAGTGAAAGAAAGTATAAAATCTGTGTAAGTGTATAAGAATTAGAATTTTTTTTATTATCAGTATGAGATTTTTCAATTCATTTAAGTATAAATGCCTGAGAAAACTCGACCTCTCGTATAATTGTTTATGGTCATTTTTAGTAATGTGATTTTTTTCTATGTGGGAAAAAATAAATTCTAAAATATGAGATTTTGAAAAAAAATATATATAATTTTAAAAAAATTTAGAATGATATTTTTTTCCAAAAATTATCAAAAAACTTTATGATTTTTTTCCAAAAAACATTAATGGTGTTTTTAAGTTTTTTAGATTTTTTCAGTTGTTCATTTTATAAATTTTTACACCTGCATAAAAAAAGTCATGGATATTTTCATAATTTTTTAAAAATCTCATGTTTTGATATATAGTATTCTTAAATTCTATATTTAAATTATGAAAATCAATCTCCAAAAATATTGAAATGTCAAGAATCACGACTTGTTGCTAAATTATTATGTAATGTAATTTTTAAAACACATAATTATTAAAAATAAAATAGGAATTATTTTTGAAATCAGGGATACATTTGATAGGAAAAAAAAGAAAAAGAAAAAAAGAAAAGGAAATGGGTGTAGAAAACGCGCATGGAAAAAGAGTGGGGTTTGCCACCTTTTTTTTGGTAAGTTGGGTACATCCAATCTTGCTTTGTATCAAGCAGTCAAAAAGTACGGCACTTTGATAAAAACAACCAACAAAATTTTAGAGTTATCTTTTGTACTAATAATAAAGTACTTTATATGATATAATTAAATAAAGAAAATAAATGTAAAGTAAATATTTTAAATTACAATAATTTCTAAAAACATATAATTATAAATGAATATAATTTTAGAGCATGTAAATGCCATGGTAGCTTAAGGTCTTCCATGTAAATGCCATAGTAGCTTAAAGTGTATGCTTATTGTAAATAATGAATTCTTATACATGTGAGAAATCAAAATAATTCTTTAGAGATAATGCATGAAACAGTGCATTAGAGAGTTAAACATGCATTGAGTCTTTTAAATTATAGTGAGTTTTTAATTATAATTTATATAAACTTATAAAAGGGTCCAAAATTATTATTTTTTAAAACATAAGGATTAAAATAAAAAACAATTTTACAAAAATTATAAGTTCTAATTAATTTTTAAAGTTATAAAATATCATTTTAATAATTTAAATTAATTAGTAAAAATAAGTTATTTTGTGATACTGAAAATTTAAACGACAATCATTTGACAATGTCAAATATGAAAATAACTGTCATCTAATGATTTTATTGACTATTTTTTAAATTTAAAATATAATTAATCCTCATTCATCTAAAAATTAAAAATCAAAAGTATGCAAGAATGAAGTTGTAAAATCTGATCCAATATTAATACTGGGCCTCCAGACATTTCTGAGGCCCATTAATGGTGCGAGCATAAGGTCCAGCTCAGCGCAGCCCAACCCAATCCGTAGTGGCAGTGACCAACTATAAATCTCACTCTATGCCTGCGGCATCTAGGGTTTCTTCTTTCTGCAGCTCGCACTTCACAGAACTCACCAACAATGGTTGCCGCCAAGAAAACCGTATGTTCTCTGTCTCCACTTAGCATTGTTGATCTGTTCATTTATTCGCCTTTATCAATTGCTTTCAGATTCTCAACTTTGTTTTAATGTTATTCTGTGATGTTTTTCGTATTATGGATAAATGCAGAAGAAGACCCATGAGAGCATTAACAACAGGCTCGCTCTTGTTATGAAGAGCGGAAAATATACCCTCGGTTATAAAACCGTTCTAAAATCTCTAAGGAGTTCCAAAGGTACTGATTGATTCTCTTTTTTCTGTTATTTTCATTTTGTTTATTGGTTTGTCTTTCTTTTTAAGGGAATTTCTAGCATGTTATGCTTTCTTTGCTAGGACCAGGTGGCACTTAACTGTTTATGAAAATTTTAAATTTGGTTTAATATCATTAGTCTAGGAGTGGTTTGCATTGATTAATTTCACATTGTTTTTGTGCTGCTGATGTAGAAATGTTGTTGGAGAGTCCTATTTGTTGATCGATTTGATGTTTTTCTGTTTTTAATTGTTGTGGATATACTTGCTTTTGTTGTTGATGCTTTGCTAGTTCTGTGAATAATTTGTAAATGATCTTTAATTCTTTGTAGGGAAACTGATTATCATTGCCAATAACTGCCCCCCTTTGAGGAAGTCCGAAATAGAATACTATGCTATGTTGGCAAAGGTTGGAGTTCATCACTACAATGGGAGTAAGTTCGTAATCCAATGCTGTTCTTGCTTTGTCTTTTTTTTTTCAATAAAGTATGCATTAATTGATAGGTAAAATAATCTTTCATATCTGATTCATTTCTGTCTCTTTAACTGCTGCGTTTCTGGGTTGGGATATGGATCTGCAAACCTTAAAAAATTTAGGACTATCTAATATTGTTGGATTTATCTTAGGATATTGTGGGTAGTACTTAGTTGATCCTGTTGAGGTTTTCATCATGCTAATGTTTATTACATCACTATATTTGATCTATTGTTTTCTGTCTTAATTATATGATATTAGATTTTTATGTCTAAAAATTTGTACGGCTCCAAGAAGTCACGTGGAATGAAGCATTATGCTTGAGTTAGTAGCATGATTGATAGTTCTGTATAGAAACATGTACACTGCTCTCAATTGACTTGGCTTTTTAAGCATGTGGTGGGCAATTTCCTTCGTGGATGGATTTATTTGATCTGTTGTGCATTTTGATATTTGTAGCTGACCTTGATATAAACTTTATCTGTTTTTCTTGTTTAAATTGTTGCACAAACTGAATTGTTTTTTTCCTATTGATGTCAATTGTCAAGGTTTTAGTATATATTTTTCATGAAACATATCTAACCGAATATTTATTGTTTCTTATAGACAATGTGGATTTGGGCACTGCATGCGGAAAATATTATAGAGTGTGCTGCCTCAGCATTGTTGATCCTGGTATCAGATACATCTTGGAACTATTTCAGTATTAGCAGCTAGCTTTATGTTTTTCTTTTTCTGATATTGACATGCTTTATTTGTTTTCAGGTGATTCGGATATCATTAAGACACTACCTGGCGAACAGTAAAGTAGTGTTGAAATCCCTTTTTCATATTTTCTGTTTTTAGTTGATTCAGACATTGTTGAATGATATCTGATTCAGTTGTAGACTCTGGTGTAAGGTTGGGTATTCTAGCTCACATCGAGTAATTTTGACTATGCTAGATTTTCTTGTTTCATTGTGCCAACTGCTCTATAGATAATTTAATTCTAGTTTGGTCGTGCTTGCTGTTAATACCAGTATGTTGACAATCGGATCGGATTTTGCACGGCAATCACAAAAATATATGGCAGTGTGAATATCGAAAAATCATAACGAGAGGGATAATCCCTCGCTTTTGTAATAAAGACCCGGTAACATTGTTCAACTTTGTCTGAGTTAGAGTTATTGGCACTTGGCACCAAGTTCGGGATCCAGTCTGTTATTAAGACGTGACAGGTTGAATAATTGATTTGTAGTCCACTTGTTTTTCAGAATAAAAGGGCTACTAGCATTAAAATCTGTAGATGTGGTTTGGAATTTGGGGGTTGGTGCTTAAGTCGATGAGATCCATCTGGTAGCCTGTTTGGAATAGCGTTAAGCAGATTGAGTGCGATTTATGATTTCAATTAGATGTAGATGGATTTCAACGCTCATCCAACGGAAATAAAGGCAATTTTCAACGTATAAAACTTATGGTTCAAGTTTTGCACCCTCGAAACATACATGTCATGGAAAACCCTGTAGCGTTGTTTACAATGCCGAGGTATAAAAAATTTGTGGTGAGGCTGACAACTTTAGCTCTTTAGAAATGTGATCTTTTGTGTGTATATATATATATATTCATATTTTTTGGATTTTAAAACTGTTATATAGTTTTAATTTTAAGTATATTTATATTATTTTAAAATCTTAAATATGTCTCAGAAGTTATTTAAATTTGTTTTCTCTTTAACCAATTAAACATTTAATTTTTTGAAGTTTAACAAACGTGTTAAAACTGTTATGAACTACTTAAAATGGAAGTGAATTTCACAAATTTGGGTTTTGCATTATAACCGTTGTCACTTACGATTGATTAACTTGTGTGTATGGACAAGAGGAATGGGGAGCACATTCCCTTTGACTGTTACCATGAGTTGTTGATGCAAAAAGAAAGGCTTCTCCCATTCAAGACAAAAAAGTGACATTCAATCAAGCCATAAGATCAATGCCTCTAAATGTTATCTGAAAAACAAAAAGCTTTCGTTATTTCAGATATAAAATATGAAGAGAATAACAAAATGAAATAAATTAGTATAAAAATATCACTTGGCACTCCTCTTCGATATTGAAGGACGGATTTGAACATCCAACCTTCAAAATATTGAGATTAGGAGATGAAAAGAAAGTTCAATTTATATGAACTTTTGCGACAAATAAAGTAGATATAAAGCCAGCCAAGGTTTACAAAATAAATTATGACAAGAACAGTTACCATCATATTCTCGATCACGCTTTCTTATAAATGTGAAGTATTTGAGAAACTTCAATTTAAAGAAGTGTATTTTGGTCAATTGCATAGCTAAATTCAAATACGAACAGGTACTAGGATAATAAGACTAAACTTCTAACTTAATTAGCCTAAATACTTTCCGAGTAATGCCGACATTTCTCCAAATCCCATGGCACATAACATTTTCGATTCAAACTTATAAGCCATCAAGTTACTTGGTACCAAAATTCAGAGAGCCCAAAAATCTTTTACATTTGAAATAAAGAAAATGATGTTTGAAGAAAGCTCATGGTAAAGATAAAGTAAACTCGACATACATAGACGTTTTACAAATGCAAAAAATCCCTATCGAGAATGCAGGCTGAATAATGACGTAACGTTAAAAAGCTCTCGAGGGATGAGAACTGATCAATAAAGTCATTTCCTCTGAAACAAGAACACGTAGCAAGTTACAAATAACAAATGTCGGCATATTTAACACATTATGTTCCCTTGATAACACACACAAATAAGAGCTCCATGCACTAAAAAAGACGTGCCAACTTCAACGGCCAAAATGTCCATAACCCCCTTTCATTGTTAGATTCATTCATTCCAAACCATTGAAGTGATAAAACACAGGAAACTCAAAAATGTATCCATTAGTTCTAATCCAATCATCAAGGAACTACTGTTAGTTTTGAGATGTAATTATAGGGAAAGCTTAAGGCAACAAAGAATGCAACATTGCTATAACTGGCAACAATCTAACCAAAATTGCCAACATAAACAGGTACAATTAAACCTCAAACTACACTTAGAACGGGTTATAATTCAAAATCCCTTTTTAAAAAGAAATTGCAAAATGAATCAAAACAAAAATCCAAAAATGTATACAAAATTAAATCAATTGATCTTGTGGTCCATTTTCTTGACAAGCTGACCCATTTGAAACCTCCAAAACAAGAAATAAGCAAAGCCAAGACCAATGAGAAGAAAGATCCAAACACTTTCATCTTCGGCCTCTCTTTTGGATGTCATCTCAGCAATCCCAAAACTGTGTCTCCCCGAATCACCCGTTTTCCCTTCATCAAAATGCCCATACAACACATAAACCCTTTCCTTTGCTCCCACCACCACCGCCGTTGGAAACCGCCGCACGTCGATCTCCAACTTGTCATACACCACTCCCTCAGCCCAGCTATCCATGCTCTTCAGCAACCACATCTCCTTTATCGGCGACACCATCGCCGCTGACCCGTCATTCCTCACCGCGATGTCGTCGGCGCCGACGAGATCTTCGTTCAGCAACACGTACCTCGCCGTGCCGTCCACCGCATCCACCTTGAACACCTTCCCCGTGCTCGATTGCACCACTAGCAGGTAACCCTTGCTCACGTAAGCGATTCCGTTTAGACCTAGGGCGCCGTCCACCGGATTGTTTGTCGCCGCCGTGTACAACGGAGATCTGGAGAACACTGTGGCTGATCCGTCGGTGGTGACCTTCCAGATGAAGTTTCCGGCGGAGTTGGTGACAAAGGCGTTGCCGCGGTGGTCGACGGCGACGTCGTTGGCGGCGTCGATGTCGTCGGAGGGGAGGGAAGAGAGGAAGATGCGGCGGCGGGAGCGGAGGTCGTAGGCGGCGAGGGCGTTGAAGTGGGGGAGGGTATTGTAGGTGTGGACAACGGCGAGGAGGCGGTTGCGCGGGGAGTCGACGGCCAGGCCAAGGAAGGAGGCGCCGGCGGGGAGGTCTGAGTCGGAGATGAAGGTTTCGACGACGCCGGCGTCGGAGACGGCGGCGATGATGCGTTGGCGGAGGGATCCGACGAGGAAGTGCTGGGCCTGTGGGTCCCAAGCGAAGGACTCCGGGTAGAGGTTGGGTGAACGGAAATTGATGACGTGAGCGTTGCGAGCGAGTATTGGGCCTGGGCCCAATAAGAGTAAGATGGTGACGGTGATGATTACGCCGAGGGTTTTTTTGGGTGGTAACATTGGCATTGTGTATGGTAGTTGGCATTTGCTTAGGCAGTGCATGATGGAGAAGAAAACGGAAACAGCAGAACCAAATCAAACAAATTTAGCAATTGATGGCTTGACTAAATATTCATGCTTCTAACTAAATTGAGCAATTTTGGGGTTGACTAAGATTTATGTTTGTAACATCTATATAATGTTATATATCTATCTATCTATAAGAATGCATAAGTGATATGCCACTGGTATTTGAGAAATCCTTAAAGCTCGTCACCACGTTTTTACTGGTAAAAAATGACATTTAACTATAAATATATGATAAATATTTGTCAAATTATGCCTTCAGGGTGTAGTTTCACCGTTATTTTGTGTACGGTGGAGGATGACATTGCTTCATTTGGTAGCTTGGCCATGGAGAAGTAATGTCAAAACGAAAGTAGAGTTGAGTAAAAGATTGAAAAATAACCATCTCGTAGAAAACCAAGTGTTATTCGAGTAGTAACTTCGAGCGTATTATATGGATTGGTTTATAAATTAATTCATTCTAATTTTTTTAGAAATCAATTTAAATTTAGATTTAGTTTAAAATTGATTTTAAATCTAATAAAAATGTTATAAATATTTTTTATATCATTATTAAATTATTATATTAAAAAAATTTAAATTTTATAATAATTAATATAACATTATATTTGTATATATATATATATATTTGTTAAACATTAACATTTTATTAAAAATAAAATACGAATATAAGGAATATTCTAACTCATTAATCTTTACAGAATTTAACAATACATGGCAAAAGAATATTTATATATATTTTAATTTATTAGTAATATATTTTTTTTATTTTTATATTTTATTAAACTAATAAATATTTAAATATATTTTACTTTTTATTATCTATCTATCACACAAACTAACTATATAAATTAAATTTTAAATTATTTTTTAATCGATTTAAATATATTTTTAAAATTTAAATTTAGTTTAAAATTAATTTTTGTTAAAACTAGTTTTAAATTTAATTTTATGTTAAATTAATTTTAAATTCAATTTTAAATTTAATTTTTAATTCAAAATTAATTTTTAATACATATGTGAATTTTATTTTTAAAGTAAAACTAATTTGTTACTTGTAACTTTTCATCAAATTAGTGCATGTCAAAAAGATTTTAATAATATTTATTAATTAAATTATATTTTATAGAAGTATATAAAATATTTATTATTATTTTTTTATGATGAAAGTTTAAATTAAAACTTATAAAAATAAAAATTAATAATATAAATAATAATAAAATTATTATATTATAATATTTTAAAAATTAAAAAAGAAACATAAATATAAAATAATAGTAGTAATTATTTTAAAAATATTATTTTAAATATTTAATTTTAATCATAAAAATTAAAATTAATAAAAAATATTAGTAATAAAATATAATTATAATAAAATATTATAAACTTATATAATGCAAAAATTTAATAAATAAAAATATAAAATAGTATTTTCGTACATATGAATTTAAAGAAATAAATAAATAATCTTATTTTAAAAAATAGATTTAGACACTAAACTAGTTACATAAATATAGTTAATAAAAAAATTAATTTAATATGAATCTGAATTTTTTAAACTAATTTAAGACTAGTTATAGATTGAACTTATAAAACTGAATTTTTTGTTCATTTGTTCAGATCTAATATAGACAAATATATTTTCGTCTTCGATTTGGTATGAAAGAACAAATAGAGGTGAAGACTTGAATGCAGAAGCACCCATCACATGTTGTTTTACAAGTTAGAATTCGTCGATAGGTAGTTTCGAACATTTTAAAAAGAACATTTACCCAGAGTACCAATAAATTATCATAAAATTCAAACCAACACTGACGATTTAGAATTTTCAGGAATTAAGTTAGCTTCCTGAAAGTAAATTCAAAATTTGATTACGAATTCTAACACTAGTTTGGCACATGCCTTTTCATGCTCATCATATTTCAGTGTAGCTGCCACGTGGGCAAAATATAAAACTAGAAGATATGTCTCTCTACAGGAATAAAAACCAAAGATGCGCAGCAAAATCAGCTTCAATACAAATTAAAACTATAACTAGCACACTATTTGATATCCATATTCTTTTTATCCTTCGGAGGATTGGTTTTAAAATCATTGACTGCATTATCAAAAGTGCTCCTAACATGCTGGCACATAAGCATCAAATCTTGACATGCATCTTTTAGCACCTCGCGTGCAGGATCCCCTACAGATGCAGAGAGAGACACGTTCAACAGAAAGTTACTGATGCAGTGACATTCAGTAGACACAAATCATGAGACAAATTTATTTGTGGATGCAAATACAAAACGAAGTATATGCAAATACATCTGGGAGCATTAATATTCATGTTATTCAGGATGCAAAAACATATTTGTGGATGATCAACTATTGTCCTATGATGTTTTTCATTTAAAAGTTTTTTTTTTTTTTGTACATTGTGTTTGTTTAATTATTTTTAGATATATCGCCCAAACCTTATAATCTATCTATATCTAAAAGTTATTTTGTAACCAATTACATTATATCCACCATGACACTGCATATGTTACCTGTTGTCTGGACTCTGATATTAACACGATTTTCTGAAGGATGAGGAATGCTGTACCCACAAAATGTCACTCTTGGACTGCAAGACAACATTAATAACTTCAACTCATCAGAATATATTACTGACAATGATGATGAAGATAGGGGAAAGGAAGGGCATAGTAAGAGAGCTATGAAATAACCAGGTAAAACAGACATTTACACTTTATAATGGGAGGTTCAAAAAGAAAAACCCTTCAATCTCTATTTAACAGAATCAAAATCAATATCAATAGGAATTTCTTGTCTTAATCTCAGGTATTCTTCTATCTCCCTAAGGAATAATTAGGAGGGGAATTTCTGATTGTGAATCAATTTGTTGCCCACAAAAAGGATCAATTTTAACTAAAATATGATTTGACGAACACTGCTTTCTACTTTGGAGCAGTTTTATGGAAAACAACAGCTAAACTGAAATTTATGAGAGGTGTCAAAGTTGTTTTGCAGCCTCTAAGCTTGTTATGGGAGGATAATCACAAGTGTTTCAATTCAAGGGAATTCATATATGCATAGATCGTGCAACATTGAGTTTCTCATGTTCCTCGTTGTATCCTAGAATCCTCCTCTAGTTGTAATTTTACACTTTTCTCACCAAAAAAATTTCAATTTGATATCATACGATGATATATTGAAGAACACTAATAAAGACTGAGGGAAATAAGTTACTCTTGATTCAAGGTGAATCTGACAGCATTTGCAAAAGTGTGATCCTCATCTACGAGAGAAAATGTTGATTTACTCTGATCAGAGTATGATCCAAGTTCCATCACCGAAAATCAATCTGTAATCAAATACAACACATTCGAAACAGCAAGTCGAAGTAAACAATGACGAAAATCGAAATCACAAATGGATTGAAAAAGAAAAAGATTACAAAAACTGTTTTTTCTGTACCTCCACGCCGTTGAGAACGAATGGTGAAAGGGATTAGGGTGCGGCGGCGAAGGGTTGGGGAAGAAGAAGAAAGGGTTCTGGTTTGGGTGTAGCCACTAGCCCAAGTTAAACGACGTCGTTGCGCAGAGCACCAAAAATTAAAGACACATAATGGTTATATATATTAAAAAGAAAAAGGAAAAACTCCCTTTCTAATGGAAAATACTTATCAAATATTATTTTAGATAACACACTTCGAACAATTTTAGTTCATTTTTTCTTTTTAAAATAAATAAACAAAAGGTAATAGATGTAAAAAATTTTGGTGTAAACGAATTAAGAGTATGTTTGATTTATTTTTTAAAAATAAATTGTAGTACTTTTATAAAAAAAAATTAATTATAGAAAGATGATATTTTCATATTTTATACCATTTTTTTTTAATTTTTATGAGATTCTTTTAATTAAATTGTATATATTAATTTGTTTAGAAATAATTAATGTATTAGTTTTTCAAAAATTAATTACAACATTCTAAATTTATTTTTAATTAAAGTAAAATCTTATTATTATATTACTAATCATTAAGAAGTTAAAAAAGTGGATGCTCATAAGCTTTTATAAAGGACCTTATATTATAAACATCAATAGAAATCTTTAAAAATTCTTATAAAAAAACAGATGAAATAAAAATGAGTCATTAATTGTTAAATTTTCAAAAAGTGATTCTAATATTTTATTTTATTTTTATTTTCATGATACGAGATGTATTTATATTTTTGGAGTAAATTTAACTTTTTCTTTATATTTAAGATAAATTTTTTTTCCTTCTTATTTTGGAACACATATTCTCATTTTTTTAAGAGATAAATGTGTTACATTTAAGGTTGTTTAATATGACTAATGAGCTTTTAAGATGTATTTTTTCTTCAATCTTGATTTTTGATATGATTGGCAATTAATTTTAAATATTTATTATTAATTTTGCAACTTTGAAAGAAAAAAAAAGTTTAGATAAATTTTCAAAGTCACTAGATGAAGTGTTTAAAACTTTATTTTGCTTTCTAAAATATTAAACTCAATAATAATACATTAAAAAATAGCTATTACTAATATACTAAAAAATGTTTTAAATAATAAAATATCAAGAGCGTATTATAATTTTCACAAGTTATACAAATACTTATAACCAAAACAAAAATGGACAAAGACTTGTTTAGTATGTTGCTATCACAAATCACAATCAAACATTATTTTTAATGAAAAACCTTAATATGAAACATTAAGTTAATGACTAGAGGAAGGCCGTGATTGAGCTTATAAATAATATTCCAAGCATTTAGTTATACACATACATGAACAGTTCCAAGTAATATGGCTTCAATTTTTCATTTTTTTTAATGGTCCAAGGATGTGTTAACAAATGAGAGTGAGAAGAGACACTTACAAAAAGGATAAAAGAGACAAAATTTTAAAATTTGAAATGAGTAGAAAGGTTGAGAAGGAAAAAGAAAAAAAGAAATGATGTTTAAACATTTTCTTCTTAATCTACTAACATCTTTATTTTCTTTTCACCTAAAAAACGCATTTTGAATTTTAAAAGTTTCCTTTCCTCTATATGGGATAAAACATGGAGTGTGGACAAGCACATTAATAATTTTTTGTACAAATGTACACATAACCATCGTTTAGTTATATTATTCATATTATATCATCGGTGAATTTTGCATCAACAAAAACTTGTAAATGTTTTTCTCTTAACAAGTGACATGTAAGGGCGAAAGGATAAGAACCTACGGATTCAAAATGCAAAAACAAAGCATGCACGTGAAGGCCAAGCTGTCAGGGAAATTTTGACCACAAGAAGAACAACCCAACATGCCATCACTTACCCTTTAACGAAAAACACAAAAAATGGACCAGAGAGAGAGAAAGAGAGTGACAGAAACACACCATAGTCCATATCCCTTCATAATTGCAATTTGCAATGGCTCTTAACTTTTCTATTTTAGGTAAAGCACTGCAAAAATTGCTCAAGTGAGAGAGAGAATCCCAACCATATATCATGCACGTACACCCTTTATCATATTTTCAGCCTCTTTATCTTTAGCCACCTTTGAAGTGAGTGAGAAAGATGTTATTCCCTCTTTGTCTTTCTTTCTCTTTCTTTGCCTTTTCTTTCTCATCCATGAAAAGCACCCTCCTTGGTTGCAAAGTTGCCCCTCTTCCTTCTTTTCTCTTTCTATTTCCTTTGTCGCCCATCTTTCTTTATCTTTCACTTCCACCTGCACATGCATTTCCACTCTCACATCAATGTCATGCTTCCTACCATGTTCTTCTCAAACCCATTAATCAATTCACAGTACTACTATATTAGGAAACATTAGTCAACAATATCAGTTCAATCATCTGTCATGGGAAAAACATTCATTTATGATTTTCTTGTCATATATCAAAGTTACAAACCCAAAATAATCTGCCCAGTAAATTGATTTCAGAATACTCATTTTAAAAGATTTAATTAATTATCATTGTAATTGAATTGATGTTATTATATAATATTGTTTCATTAATGAATTTTAGTTTTTGAAATTTGAAATTTAGTTTTCTAAAGTAGCTATCGTAATCACATATATGTATAATATAACACAAATCGATGTTAATGTTATACTTCCATTTTTAAAGCCAACAAAATTGGTAGTGAATAGGACTGATATATTATCAAACAAAGTCTTGATTGACGGTACGTTTCTAAGGAAAACACTTTCCACATCATTTTTTTTTCAAAATTCCCAAATTCAATGTTTTTTTAGAAGTTTTCCTTCATTTTAATTTTTAAAGAAAGAAAATATAATCGAAAATAATATATATCCTAAACTGAAAAAGTTTAGGTTTTATTTTTAAATAGGTCTTTAAAATCACATAGGTTAAGTATTTTCCTTTTTGAGATTTTTTAATTTTGTAAGACCCCAGTCATTTTGATATTATTTTTGCAAGGTAAAAAAATTAATAACTTTTTTCCAAAATTTTAAAGATTAAAATATTTGGTTCGTACAATTCAAAAAGACTAATGTAAGAGTTTTCTCGTATGCTAATCAAAGGATTAAAAAAAGAGTGACAACAAATCAAATCAAATCAATTTCAATTCGTATTCATATCTGGTTTCCCTACCCCTAACACCTCATTGTGAGACTGTACCCATAATCAGGGACAACTATGTTCATGAAATTTATATGTTAATATTTGCCTGTACATTCGGAGTGGAATTGAATCGCTGCAAATAATAAACAAGATGAATAATATTTCCAAATCAAATCAAATCCAACGTTGGCTAGTAACTATAGCTACCTCAACAACAAAATATCCATGTTGAACCAATTATTCTTAGATATGAGCTCGGCCAACGAGGCACTGCACATAAATAAAATTGATCCTATCTAAATACCCATTATTTTAAATTAAATTGAAATATTGTAAAATGAAAAATATTTTTGATTTCATGCACTTATTTTGTGTTTCTACCTAACATGCCAATTTTGTTTGGATGCCAAGAACCGACAATTTCTTCTGACACAGATAGAGAAGTAGGCCAACATATATCGTTTAGAAAATTCATGTAAGTTTGAACTAAAGCAGAAATGTTTCATTTGCATAAAAATAAATAAACAAATAGAAGACATTATTTATGACTTCATAATATGTAACAAATAATAAGCTTTCTTCTCTACCCTTTTTGTATTCCAAATCAGCTAACGTGTGGAAAGTGGAACAATTCAATCTCTAACAACTTTGTTGGCTATATAATGTACCATTTGGAAAACAATAGAAATGTAGCACAATACAGTACAACTGTTTATGGAACCATTGTGTTATTCTTAATTGAAATAAGTATCAGTGCCATATTTCCTTAATGTGACTATTCTATGATGATATTAATATTGCTATATAATTTAGTTTCCATTCATAACTTTATTCCTTTGTATGTAATCCTAATGAAGAAATAGGACGTAGCATGACAGCGAGTAGACATTTTGTTGAAGTACCCATAAAATAAAAAAATGTACTTTGATTCCAGAATCTTGAGTGGCTTCACATGAGACAAAGGGAAGAGCTATATTACAGGTTGAAAAGGAACCATACTGCCATGTTGAAATCATTCGAGAAGGAGAACTATGTTGAACCGATTAAAGAGTTTAAGAATAATTTGATTCTTGCATACTAGATAACACTTTCACGAGCTGAAAATTGATTCCCAAAGACACAGACAAGTGTAACTGTACGTGTAGTGGAAAGTATCCTAGTAGGGGGAAGGCAAGGAGGGGCCATGAACTAGAGAGACACTTAAACATGAAACACACAAGGACAATATATCTATTACTGCCCCACATTAGAAGGTTATAATCTAGACAACTAGATTTGATTCTCTTATCTTGGAAATACCACTGTTGGCCTATGGTAGTTTTCTCTTTCTTTTCTTTGGTTTTGAATAATTTTGAAAATTTTAAATGAAATTGACTTTTGTATCAGATTTTTGGATATTTCCTCAGTTTAAAATTTATTTCTTGTCAGACAAGAAGAAAATAACAAATTAACAAAAAAAGAAGCAAAATAAATTACATCATTTTTAAAACCCTGGCAAATTTTCTTGTCTTGGTATTTTCTCTTCACTTAATAATAGCATTCATAGGTCATAACTTAAGCACCAATGAAAAGGAAAATCTGAATCTAAAATATTTGAGGTCTTAATTAGAATATATATATATATAAAAGATTCTAACAAACTCATTAAAAAGAGTATACAGTAAAAAAAATGTAGCAGATACCTCTTCCTCAGATTTTGTTTTGGCATTTGAATTAGGTGAGTCAACAGCTCTAGTTTTTGATCTTTCTATGATGGACGGAGTTGAAGCAGGGCTAGGACTGCTTGAACTAAGGTATTGGGGTGTACTTTGAGTACCCACATCTCTTGTCATTCCCTCTTTCTTCTTTTCTGCATAGAGAGGCAAAGTAGAATTGTGAAGTAACTTGAACTGTTTCTACGAGTAAAAAGGAAATGAAGTAGAACATGGCTAAATAAGAAACCTGGATTGGGAAATTGAAGAACCACATCTTCTTGTGTGTTAGTTGCTGGCTTTGTTTGTATGTATCTTGAAGAATAAACTAGAGGTGCTGACATGGTAATTCTGTTCGATGAGTTTCTAAATGATCTTCCACTAAGAGTTTTTGCAGATAAACATTCCAATGGTACCTCTCCAGAGAGAGGGTTGCATATATACCTTTCTGCTTCATTCCATTTGGAATTTAAAGCAAACCCATCTGGTGACAAGCATTCCCAACTGTTATAGCCTGCCCTTGCTTGCAATGCTGCAATGGACCACCATTCAATTGACTTTAGCTTAAAAAATAATAAATAATAATAAACCTGGTTTGCTATTTATCAAAGTGGTTCATTCACATGATGTACCTTTAAGAGCAGTAGTGAAAGAATATGTTGAAGGGTCTATTTCATCTGCAATAAATGAGATAATTTGAGGTGAAAAGGAAGGTAAAACCAACTCCTTTGAATTGTAGTGAAAAAGAAATGTACCTTTTAAGTGGTATCCAGGTGAAGAGACAGTGCTAGAAATGGTTATGTTTGATCTAAAAGACCTTGTGTCTTCTCTAAAGCTTCTCATATAAGATCCTGAGTACCTTCTGGAGTTGGTGTTCTCTCGATTGATTCTACCTTTCACTGCCCATTCTGTTAAATTAAACTCTGAATCATCTCTTCTTCTTGAGCTATAAGAAAATGGTTCAGCTGTTGAGGCCATGAATGAGTTAGAAATTCAGCAGAGTGGAATGTTGTTGTAAATGCTCAAGTCACTCTCACTTCAACACAAATTTGTACAGGCTTGAATTGAAAGTGGGTGCTGCAGGTGCAGACATGACAAAAAAAGAGGATTCTGAAGCTTAAGCTTTTTGTCTAGGTAAGGTGTAGGTGGAATGTGCCTTTGGTATCAATTCAAAGACTAGGCATGCCTAAGTTCTTTGAGGAGTGTCTGTCTCTTCTAATTTTTGCTCTTTCACTTTTTGAATCTCCATAATGCAATGGCATGCCTCAAATAGCGTTCTATATTACAAGTATCTTGTTTCTTTTTTTGGCCTCTGCATTAAATTCAATGGACTCCCTCAGTAACTTTTATTATTCTTTGGCCCCTAATATCATAGACCACTAGGTGAGTTTTAATCTTCAAGTGAATCATGGGACACTAACTGTTAGTCCCTTTTTATTTTTGTGGTTATTGGTTGAACAAAGACAATGAAAAATTGTCCATTTTTTCCTTTCTTGTTCCATAAAATTAGGATGCTCTAATCCATGCCAAAAGTCGTGGATATCACAATCCATCCAGCACACAATTTCAGTTTCACATGGAGACAATTTTAAAGCTTAAAAGAAAGAAAGAAAGAATTTCTCATTTGCTAGACATTTCACAGTGAATTTCCATTTTATTCACATTAGAGAAAACAACACGAAATAATGGATTTGCTCCATGTCCTTGCATTAACGTCACTTTGGTTGATTGTTCTTCACATTTTCTTTAGGAGGTTCACAGTAGCTATTTGACATACCAAAATCTAAAATTAAGGAGGAGTTACTTGGACCCGAGAAAGGAAATAATAAACAATGCTATAACTATGATGAAAAGACTCATAATTAACAAGTTAACAACTATTACATCAGTTTAAATTTGCCACAATAAATGTAAGATCTGAGGACTAAATAAGCAATATCATCACATATATACCATAGAGATTTGCCAAGAAAATGTAAAACAGAGGAAGTGGGAGAGATTCACATAATAGAAGAGGGAATAGGCTGCAAGCGTTTTCAGGGATTAACAAGGCATATTAAAAGAGCAAATTTTATCTAAAATATGTTAAAGCTAAGGAAATTAAAACCTAATAAAGCTAGAGAAACCAAATAAATTATCTGTGAAGCCATAACACGGGCAATAAATTTTTCTTTAATTTTTTTTAGCTTAAACTTATATTTCAACTTCTGAATTGAAACCAATTAAATTATCCTTTTGAGCATTTAAATTCAATTCCCTTATATATGGACATTGACGTGGCATCCATTTTGTTGATGTGGATTTTACAAAATGCATATCATTGTCATGTTAGTAATAAGTGTTGCATCACCAAATTATGTGTCACATTTACTAATATGCATAGTTAGTCAATTAAGACAATGCCGAATTGATGTGTGAACTTGATGGCGTCGACTGAAAAGTTATGAAAAAGAAGTCTTTCACATGCTTAATGCTGTATATCAGGTGGTATGTATAAAATTATGTAGAAAACTGCAATAAACCATTTTTTCTTTTACAAATTTCCTTTCGATTTTTGAGAATGAGATTAATTATTGCTCCAATATTCATACCTCTAAAATAATTAAAAGAAGAAGGATAGATAGTGTGCTTCTATTTGAGAAGGTCAAAGTAATTTAGATAAAAATAAATAAAGAAAATGCGAAACTGTCTTAAAAGTGCTGTGAGATTTTATTATCTTAACAAAAAGTATTGAATAAGGTATATTAAAATACAATTGATGTACACTTACTTTCATTTTTAATATATTCTCGATGTAATTTTTAATAAAAAAAATAATTTTTTGGTCATCCACAAATTTTTATATACAAATATAGGAGCAGTTTTATTCTTGCATTTCTTTTTTAGTTGCTTGATTCTCTCTCTTATAATTCATGTATAAACAATTACGGGTCTCACTTTTTCAAAATAAGTTTGAGTTTGTTTATAGAATCAACTTTGCCTCACTTTCTTTTCTTGTTAAGTAACGTAGCATAAAATTAAGAATTGTTGGATAAAAACACTGTATAAAATATTTAGATAAAGGGAGGGGATGGTCAAAGCCTCCACACTATAGCCTTCCTTGGATCCACATTCAATGATAATTTATCATGTTTAATTTAAGTTTTCAAATTAAATACAATTTAGATGGAATTTTTAATTCATTATTAGAACATCAGAGCTTAATGGGGTTGGATGATTGAATACAATCTAATAGGTTGTAGTAATCACACGAGTTCAACAACATGAATGATTAGGGTTGGTGAGCTTTTAAATAAGAAATCTTAAACTCGTTACAACAACTCCCTAATGTATATAAAAGAAAATACAATTAATTAATTGATCAGGTAAATGAATAAAAAGTGACAAAACAATGTAGCCAAGAAAAAATAATGACCATACAATTAGTGGGCCAACATTTATTATAGTTATAGAAATTGGATTGATAGAGGCTGACATTGAAGGCTTACGCTTGCTTGCTGTACTTTTTTACAAACTTAAACCATGCATAAATGAATGGTTGATTCCAAGGAATTTCTTTATTTAGAAATTTGAAGAGATAAAAGATGAATAAAAGATGAATTAAGGGTGCAGATTTAAAATTTTAATATCAACCAGTAACACTAAAGTTGTTTAGATATCTTCATTGCATGTATTTGGATAATTAATAAAATATATATATATATATATATATAATTTTAATTAAATAATTTTTATATTAAATAAAAAATCCAAATAACTTGTGTTTAAAGACTCTATATTATGATGAGAGACGTCCCTGATCGCTGACTTTATATTTTGTAGACATCCAAACACAACTTAATGATTGAACATGGTTAAATTTAGCATATTTGAGTAGTAAGTAACATGCATGATGATTTTAATTTTGTAAATATAAAATTGAAAGAGTACAATGGAAGTGACGGAAGTTTCCCTCCTATGACTACACCAAATATGAGAACCTAGTGAAAGGCCAATGGGGGGGGGGGTGAATCCATGTGAGAATCACTGTTATTGAGTAGAGGGAATGGTTTTCAAAGTTGAGAATGAGAAAGCAGAATATGATGAGTTTGTACTGTGTTGGGTTGTTTTCAGCGTAGGGTGGATGTGGATGGTGAAGGGTGTGAGTGAGAGAATGTCTTTGGGGTTCAGCACGTGCATGTCACATTCTTGTCTTTGCATTGTGAAAATGAGTGATGTTGGGGCCTTCACATTATGGAAGACTATGGTCCCACTCTGGACCTCATCATAGCCGTCAGTTTTGTCTGATGTGTATGCATTGTATGTATCAAGAAAGAGAGAGGTTCTGTTCCTTGCCAGCTTCTGGGTCCACTTAGTTCATTTATTTTCTAAAGTTTTTCTACTTTTCTATCTGATATACATATATTTTGTCTCCACAAACTACTTCCATTTGAATTGTCCAATCTCAATGCCCAACAATCCTCCTTGGAACAAAGTTTTTATAGCCATTACTAATTACCAATGATTCTTTTCAGAAATATCATCCATTTCCACAACCACAACCACAACATCAACCATTCATTGTCACAACCATAACATATCTATGCATTCTTCTAGACATATATTGCATATAATATTTTGTTCCCATAGATAAAAGCATATATTCATCATAATCGAGTTTAAAAGGTAAGCCATTCTAGGCATCATAATCAAGTTAAGGAATTAGAATTAACGTGTGATTAATTTTTATAAATAATGCATCTACATCATGCTAGAGGCACCCTCAACCCCCAAGAATCTCTTTGAAGAAATTGCAATTTTAGAGACAGGGTGTTGTAACTAGGTGGAGATTGTGGCTTTTCTATAAATCCTGATTTGTTCTCTGGCAAACAAGCATGATAAGAGCATGAAACAAGTTGATAAATAGTCAACAAATGCGGCTCTTCATGACCCTTGAGTTGTAGAATCTGTCAATTCATCTTCACATCTAAAAAAGTAAAAATGTCAAAATTCAACTCATGTTTCGCCAGAAGAGAGTGGCCCCAGTGCACAAGGCCATTTTCAAAGATTCAAACTCACAATAAAGAAGAAAAAAAAATCCGGTTAAAAGCTAAACTTTGAAGCATTTCAATGAGTGGATGACAAAACCATGGTCAGATTATGCTTTTCCGACATGATATATTTCTGGAATCACGTCAAATTGTATCAATGATAACTTGATGTTCACGCCAAGAACCCGTTACTTGTATATATCCCTAGTAGCCAAATGCATATTGCCAAAATAGTTTCAAAAGAGATGAGGCTGGCATAGGAAGATTACATAGAAGATTGAAATATACCAACTTATAAAAAGAATAATTCAATGTACCCTGCAACAAAGTGACCGAGTCCAAGTGTATAACACCCTCGAGTTGAGCTAAAGCTTGAAGTGGCCGAAGTCGGTCCAAGCACCATCGAGCTATGAAGGGATCGCTTCGTTATTTGAAGTGGGTCTTGACAAAAAATCGTTATTTGAAGATGGTATGTAGATTTAACCAAAAGAAAAAGAAGTGGGTATATGGACTTCTAAAAGTGTAGGCTCAAACAAGCTAGTTATACACGGATTCATTTAAAAGCGGATCTATCACTTTGGTCCATTTGTTTACATGCTTAAGTGGGTCAACGTAGACCAGATTGGACTAGTAGGCATACTCAACTATATTCTCCATGGTAATGGGATGGTGAGTTGTTTTTCCCAATGTTGGGCATGGATTAGATGATCCATCGGTTTGATATTGAAGTGTTTAAAAGTAGCAATTTTTGAGTAAAATGGTTAATCTAGGTTATGATTTGACCCAAATAAATTTTCCCAGTGATTGCAAGTGAATTTCCTGATTTGTGACTACCCACATATGACTTATGTATTGTATATGGTAACCAACTGATCTTATCCATCGAAAAAAAATTAATTATTGTTTATATCCTTTTAGTTCTACTATACAAATAGCAATCCTCGATTAAAATGGTTGGTGCAGATGATTTTTAACTCGTGTGTTATTCTGTTATAATTTCCATTTCCAGTTTGTAGGATTGGTAAAAAGGTACCATTTTTTTTGTTCAGGGGGTTTATGCAAATTTTGTCTTCTGTTGTTATGTAAACAAGATAAAAAAACAAATTGATTCTCTGTCTCTTTAATGACCTGATAGTTTGAAGGATCAAGTTTCTTTTGTTTCACTAATCTTTCTTATTACCTGAGAAGTCGCATCATGCTGTCTGGAGATAATGGTCTAAAATTCTTGAGAGCTTGTGCACCACCGATAGTGTGGTCTGCCATTTACATTTCAATGTTGCAACTTGCGAAAGCATTTGCCTTAATAATCTTTGAATGTGAATTTGTGATTGGTGAGATAGGATGAGCAAAGTGATACAGGGGCAAAGGTAGTACGGTTTCTGGTACATTGGTGTGTGCATGACCAACATCAAGCCTTATATTTAGAGTGATAATTACTTTATTTTGTAAAATGTAAGATTTATTAATCTAACCATTAATTTAAAGATTTTTATTATAAAATTTTATATAAAAACAATAATAAATACTTTATCGTATATATGTTTTTAAAATATTAGTAAATATTAAATTTTAAATATCATCCTTACAAATATTTAAACTTGATAAAATTTGACATTCATGATTTAAAAATAATATGAGAACGAAGTGTCTAAGATATGCTAAGTTACATTTACATGTGTGGTTCGCAGTCCATGTTATACTAGAACCGCAAGTGTTGTCTATTTACAGAATAACCAACCACCGAATCTACTAGTACATTACCAAGAAAAACTTTTATGTGAGGCATGAATATCCTGCACAAGCTCTACTCGAGAATGAAGATTGAAGAGCAACAAATGTAATATGGGCTATGGCTAACAGTGGAACAATGTGGATTGTGGATTTTTCCAGGATGATACTTCATCTTTTTTGCTCTCTTGAAAATCATACCAATTCATAGCAGATGAAAACAGGGTAGAAGCAGATCATGAAGGAATTTTATGTAACTTTTTCAACATCCTATGTTCTCTAGCTACTAATTTAAGCAAAAGAATAACAGTACATCAATTAACACATGTACCTGGTTCTGTCAACTACTCCAGCAAGCTCTCTGATCTTTCCTAACACAACACAACAACAGAAAAAGAGAATGACTAATATAATTACTTCCAATTCAAAAGAAATATATGAAATGCAATAGTTACTCTTTGGTGGGGTATTTGCAATCTTTTTGTTCAATTCGTTGTTGGGTTGGTAGAATAAAAGAAAGCACCTTCTATATGGTTCCCGGGTAGACTAGACCATGTTGTGATGAGAATCAATGGCAGTAATGAATTTACATGATACATGAGAAGATTGATCCATAAGAAATTATGGGATTCTTGGTGCCATTGATTCCCATCACAACTTGTTCCAGCCAACAAGGAGATTCAATGAAATGCTGATGACTACTGACGCATAAGTTGAGGTGCAACCAATATATTAGCCGGAATTGTTGGATCCATTTCTTATAATTTAATAATTTATTGATATTTTGTTACTATTGTGGAATATGCACACAATATAGTACAGAAACCAACCTTCATTGATTGGTACTGCTATTTTGCTTCACAAGCACCAAATAATCCATTAAGATTGTACTGGCCTGTTGTACTGGAATGTTGTACTACTATATCGCCTTTGTCTTAGTCCCAAATTGATTGTTCCACTAATCGTTTTATTTGACATATGTATACTATAAATGGAAGATCACAATTGTTTGTAGTTAGTAAATTAATGTAAAATATGGAAATACAAAAATGTAATTTATAAATTTTAATTGATTTTCATTTGAGTTTCCATTTTTCTACATGAACGTTGATTGAGAAGTGTTTAATATATCATTAAATGTTTCAAATTACTCAAGAAAGCAAGTAGTAAAGAATTGTTATATTTTTTATATAAGTACTCATTTTCTTAATAATCAATGGTCAAAATATTGGTCAACATTTGTCCTTTTTTTATTATAATTTTTATGAATAAGATTCTGGATGGGTTTGGGCCGAACCCATCTTAGTCAGGGAAAATTAGGAAATTTATTTATGTTTGTGGGCTTTTAGAGAGCCTCTAGCATCATTAAAAATAAGAAAGCTTAACATAGACCCAATCTCAATGCAACAATTTATCAATAAAGCTCACGCATGTTGTTGACCAATAAAAAAAGAGCTCACGCACTAACGAGCCTACTTTATTATATACACAAACAATTCATCACATAGTTGAATAATTAAAAAGTATACAACAAAATAGCTACTCAAACTTATAAGAAAATGGAAAGTTACTAATGATGATACCCATAAATAACCAAAAATATGCTTTCAAGGACAGTAGCACGTGCTTTAAAATAAATAAAACAAAATCACAGACAACCATATTTTGAAAGGATAATAAAATTAAGAAGAAAGTCTTTATAAGCTTTAAAAAGTATAACCAGCAATAAAAAATAACGCACATTTTCCAAGCCCCATGGTGGCAGACATAGTTCCTTTAGTTATAATTTCATCCATCATATTTGATGAAACACCACTAGCTACATAATGTCAAGCTTTTCATGAAATAGAAATTCCACCACTATAAAACCCACCCACACTCTCCACCTATTATTCAGTAACACAAATCAAACTACAAAAGCCTTTAGGAAAAAGGGATTCATGATTCATCCTAGTCAGTGAAACCAGCAATTGTAGCATGAGGCTCAAGGGCCTTAGCAGCAGGTGAAGGTTCCACTGATGGAATGGGCTCAACAGTCCTGACAATAAATTCTTTAGGCAAATCCTTAATACCCTTAAGATAAAATGTGTACAAAATCTTGAAAGGATACACAATTTGATGCAACTTCACTTGACCCTTAACTCCTTCAAATATGCCAGACCCGCCAGTCACAGCCAAATATGAGTCCTCATAGGTAAGGTAAGGTCCTTGAACCGCTATGTGACCATAGTCTCCAAAGTAGAAGCTGAAGATTGCTTCATACCTGTCCCCTTTCTTTTCTGCTTTGTTTTGTATCAAAATACAAATTCCAGATGTTATCCCAATGCGCTTTTGCAGATCTCCAGTGTACAACTGCATAGCCCAAAATCAAATCAACAACCAAAACATTTTCATATGCATCATTGAATCAAAACAAAAAAAGAATTTGGGCTTTTCAGCTTATAAAGTTTAGGTAAAGGTAAGGTTCTAATATATTATATAACAACCATAGAATTATAACATAAGGTAACAACTTTATATTATTGCAATGTAAAATTAAATTATCATAACAAGAGTAAATACGCTACAAATGAAAGACTACCAGTAATATTGATTTCTGAAAACTTCATACCAGTACACATGCAAAAAAAGTGAAGATTAAAGAGAGGGAGTGAAGGATTAAACGAGAAACTTACCTTGTTGCTGAAGGGGACTAAATCACCAAGGGAATTGACACTTTTGTAGCTCAATCGAAGGTAAACAGGGCTTCCACGGTCTCGCTCGTTGATCTCATACACACTAAGCTCTTGGACTTTTTCTACAAATTAATCAAGCAAAGAAATCAAAAGGGTCAACACGTGATCAAGTCAAACCCACGTTTTTTCAGCCAAAAAACAAAAAACATGAATAAAGAAGCAAACTTGAAGATTGGACGTGTTTACCAGAGTCCACAGGTTCAGCCTGGCTTTTGCAAGTGAACAATTTCTTGGGAACTGAAGACAAGGAAAAGTGAGACAAAGTGGTGTTAAGTTTGAGATTCTTAGTGAGAGTTTGGTTGGAAGAAGTGAAGGGTAAGAAAGCCTTGGTTGGTGAGGATGAGAGAAATATTGATCTTGGGTTGGCATTGAGAGGTTTCACAAAGGAAGAAGGAATGGTTTTCAAAGCATAGCTTGAGCAAGCCATGGTTGCTGATTAGTGTGTGCTTATTTTGTTTTTGTATGTTTGGATGACAAGACAAGAGTGTGTGAAATGAGGTAAGCATTGGTGACTTATATATAGGAAAGAAGGTAGAAGAATTACAGGGTTAAAGGGTGGACGGTGGAAGAAAAATGTGATTCATATCTTGTGAAATGTGAAGAATGGGAGAGAGCCACATTTGAGAATTGAGGGTCAAACGTTCAATAATGGCTAGAGGGATAGTGGACGGTATAATGAACAGTGCTTCATTTTCTTTTGTTGGGAATAATGTGTAGTAGTTGGGTTTGGAAGAGGGGAATAATATATTAAGCCACTAATTACATGAGTTGATGTGTTGATGATTTTTTTGCATAAGTGCATGAGCTTTTGTTCTCTTCTTTATTTTCATTTTTTTGTCCTTCTTTTCTTTTTAAAAGATGTGTTACTCGATTGCAATTGGCCAATGTATGTGTGTCAGCTTTGCTTCTAACGTGTTGCGCATTTTGAAGAAATTTTTCATGAATAATGTACTCCATTTGTGTAGTTATAATGCATTAATGTATTTAGATCGTTCTTAAAACAAAGTATGCTCAAATTCATGGAGGAGTAATGCTTTTTGAGGAAGATGAAAATTGCATTGGATTTGACTGATCTTGCATAAGTTGCGTTCTACACGGGAAAATACACTTGGATTACTTATTCAATCACCTTAAATTAATGTAGGAGATTGCTGATTATTTAAAAATTATGCTTTGCCATATTCTTTTAAATTTTCTTATTAATCTATACAATCCACTTTGTTGCATAAGATTAACGATATTCTTGTTGTAATTATTGAAAATACAACCAAAAGCTTTGAATATGAGTGTCCAATTATCCATCATAGCACGAATCATCATCACTAACAGAAGGTGTCTACTAGTTTTGTTTTGTTTTTTTTGTCAATAAGGTGTCTACTAGTTTAGGTGGATGAAAAGAGAAGATGAATGAACAAAAGGGTATCTCGTGATGGGCCAAATTGAAGAACGACCCAATTCCAGTTGAAATAAAAAGGAATTCAGCGGCCCAATAATGACAAAAATATAAGACAGCCCAATAGATGAACAACAGCCAATAGTGTCTCTCCCCATCCATGTTTTTGGGTTCTCTTCTGCCGTTTCTATCCATTCTACACTTGGGCCCATCAATGTGTCAGCTAATTGAGACTACCTTTGGGTCATAAAGGTGTTATAAGAATGATAAAAATTAAAACTAATATCAAAAGAGAACAGGTAATTATCCCATTTTTATGAGTAAATATAATTGAATGATTACCTATAAATGATAGAGACATTGCATGATCCTTGTTCGTGTTTAGATAGTCAGATAAATTTATCACTTATTTAATAGAGTTTTGAAATTTTTTATTTTAAAATATTAAAATTTGGTTTAATTGATTGGTGATTTTTAAATATTCTATTAGGCCTAATGAGATTGAATAAGTTCGAGTATTGATTAAAAATTAAGAAAAAAAAATCTCTTTTCATTGGCTAACTAATTAAAGGAGAAGAAAAAATTAATTTGACATTAAAGTTAAAAAAAACTATTTAGAAAGAGAAATGCCACTAAATGAAGAAAAATATATACGTAATTATTCCTCTTTAAAAATAAAACGAGAACTGAATTTTAATATATGAGGATAAACATCATCTATGTCTTGCCATTTGTTTTAGCAAGAGGTTTCCACGTGTGTTTTAATGATGCTCCTTTATAGAATTGGAACATGCATGGGTATTTCATGTAACTAGAATTTTCTATAAGTGTCCTATAAAACTTTTTGGAACATCCATTATTCAATAACATAAATAGGGATCTTTAGACTTCATCATATTCATTAATAAGAATAGATAGGACCACTAATCTTTATCAACTATGTAGGGTTGATGTTTCTTTTATAGTAGAACTTGCAAAAATATAGAAACTCTTATCTATCTCTTATCCTTTCCTTACTTTGCCTTTTCTTGATAGAAAATTAGACACAAAGAATAGTTTCTTATATATCAATTGAATTCATATATAATTGATCGCACCAACAATTGAAAGTTAAAAATTCATTTTTCATGTCCGCGATTCTTTATATAAATATTAAACCATATTTATTTATCACACATATAAGAGTACAATTTTATTCATTATATAAAAAAAGAGTATAATTTTATTACACTGTTAGTATAAATTATTTTGTATTATCAATTAATTTAAATACACTGTAAATATGTAAATTTTTCTTTTAGATAATCAACATATTTAAATTATATTCATTTAATAATATATCAATTATAACAAAATAATAAAAATAATTATTATATTAAGTAAATCATAAACCCTAATTAAAAATAAAAACTAATATAAGTCATAACTATGAGATTTCATCAATTTAACAAAATTCTTTCCATACAGTATTCTATTAGATTTTCTAACATAGCACTTTAATAAAAATGCATATGTTGATATCAGCGTCAACAATAATATCTTTATTAAAGACAAATCATACTTTCAATATTACTTGCCATTCATACATATACAAAAATAAAAATAAAAATAAAAATTAGACATTAATGAGTTTAAGGTGCCAAATATACATTAAAATTAAAACTAAACAAATTTCGTAATATTTAACATTCACTGTTGTATGACAACAACCTTTTAACAAAAAGGTTAATAATTATAAGATCAATGCTAATATTATATTTGTACAGCCTATGTTTTTGAAATTTTTATTTAACAACTAAGCATTTAATTTCATACGTTCAGTACCTTTTAGGCAGCACATTAATTTTTTAAAAGAAAAAATTAATATATTACAATAAAATTCCAATAGCTTAACATTTGATTACTGTAAATCTAAAAATGAAGTTCGATGACCTCTTAGCTTGAAATCCTGACCTTAAAATATATCACAAATTCAACTTTCATGACAAAAACAACAATTACTAACTATTGCATTCTTTCAACATATTATTCCTCTGACCAAAAGATACAAATAACTTCAAACATAATTTTTTTTAATATCTAAACAACTGACAAAAATTGAATCTACATATCCAATTATCTTAAAATGATTAGATCTTCTAAATAACTGAGGATGTGATCTTGCATTCCTTACAAATATCTTAAAATTTCTTTACAATATTTTATCAAACTAAATTACAAAATTTTCATATCTTCCGAACATTACAAACACATGGCTAGCTACTAAATTCAGACTTTTTAAATTTTGCTTTGTCTTAATATATTCAAATTTAAAAGCCAGTTCATAACTATAGATTAGAAAAATGAATATAGTATAATATGGAGATTTTGAGAAAATATAAAATGGAATGGGTTCTTCTGTACACTGGAATTTCATTTAAACTTATTCTAAGATTCTTAAATCATCCAAAGGGTAAGAGACTCAACAAAATGCATAAACAGATAATACAGTAAGCTCTCTATGTTTAATTCAAATCAAATTACTAGCATTCTTCTTGTACATTGTCTTGTATGCAATCCAGGCAACCAAGTACACTGAACCGTACTAATGAGATATATGGTTACATGTGCATAATCTTTGATTAAACCAAGAAATTTACAAGATCAACTATTCTTTTGTTTTTCTTATTTTATTTGGAAAAGAATTTCGTAATGTTAATGGACAATTAACTTCTATTGAAACATGAAGTAGACAAGAGAATTACAAATTGTGAACGCCAAGCAAAAAATCTAGGTTTGTCTACAGTATCAAAGGCAGTAACCATGCCACTCACGAGCATTTCACGTGTTGGCATGTCTTCTTAGTGCATTACAGCTTTGCGTTTGGTCCATTAAGATATTCTTAGACGAAAGCCAGAAAGGAACATGGCTCAGACAAAATTGTTAGTGAAGGCCTTCTAGACATATTTAAAGTTCCCATGTCCCTTATGGTTAGACCCTTCTCTCCCACACCTTGGGGTAGAGCTAGCTAATACAATGGATTCCTTGGACCCCATATTCAACATCAAAATCACATTTTAAAATCACCCCCATGCTCATGAACACATACACCAAGCCTAAAACTTTTTTTTTTTTTTTTTGGTTACATTTTTCAATGATTTTTCCCTTAACTTTGTTTTTAAAGTGACTCGCTTCTTCTTTACCCTCATTGCCTTAGTAAAAACCAAAGTTGAGTGACTCGATCATGTGGTAGGGTGAATATATTATGAGGTAATAAATCCAAGCTTATATATATATATATAAGGACACTATCTTATTATGCCTTTAAGTTTCTCTTTTTTTCCCCCTAAAAGGATAAGCTATATTAATCTTACAATCACTAATTTGACATTATGCATCAATAAGAGATCGAAGTTCGTTTAAAGGAATAATATAATGTTTCGGTGAGGCTACTTAATGACCTAATAGAGCACGACAAAACTTTTATTTATACTTCCAAAGAGAAATATAAAATAAAATAGATAAATGGAATTGCTGCTAGTCTAAGTGATATGGGTGGAGCACAAGACACAACATGTGGGATTATGCTTGTGGTTAAATTAAGATGAAGCTCTAAATATTGTAACAATTGGTCGGGTTTGAAGAAGTCACTCGGAATAATTTCAGATTCAACAATATTTTCTACCTTTCACATACAATTTTTGGCTTCAAGTTTGTAGGCTCAGACACGGGAAAAAATATATACGGTAGTAGATAAAAACATAAATTAAAAAGAGTCATTAAATATTGTTGATCTTTCACTATATTTGTGGACTTACAATCCCTGAGAGAGTTTTCCTCATGCCACACGATTAAGCACATTAGGCCATAACTCGTGGAGCCACAACCATTTTACATTTATACTCTAATGTCCTTTAAGATAACCTTCTCTGACACACCGTTGTCTTTATATCCCATATTTGAAATCACATGCCTAACTTTGACTATTAGCCTGCCATTACAGTTTTGGGACGATCTAGTGTAAGATAGAAAGTGGGCATCTGTTAGTTTTGCACAGAGCCTATAAAATTGAGAATAGGAACATGGGTAAGACCAAAATTAACTCTAGACAATTGTACTGCTCTTCACCTAACTGGTGTACAACATACTTACCCCGTGTTAAAAAAAACAATTATTTAGAATAATCTACAATTTAAAACATATATATGTAAGTAAATGACTTAATTAAATATATACAAAAGTTAAAAAATTACTGATAAAAATGTCATAACAGGCATTCATAAGCTTAATCATTAAATAAAATAAATTTAAATAAGTTACATAAAACTTTTCCAAATGTCCTCATTACAAATTGGAAGAGGAAATTCCACAGCAACGTAGGTGTACTAATAATTTGATAATATAGTCAAACGACATGACAAGGAAGCTTCATACTTTCTTTGCCTAATTATGAGGTTCTTATCGCGAAACCATGGAAATCTAAAAAATTTAGGATAACTCTGGTTTATATTTAGGCATCGATCACTTAAACATTATTACTAGTATATTTTTTTTCGTTTAATTCAATGGCCGACCACTTATCTTGGTAGTTGATGCCAACATAAATGTTGGTGCAGTGAGAGAGAGAGAGGGAGAATAGGAGCATGGAATCTGAATTGGGGGGCCTATAGACATTTTCTTTTGGAACTAAGGACCACACACTTGGCTCTATAAGAAGCCCTTTGGAAGCCCCTTTTGAAACATTGCTTCAAGGGGTTTCAAGTTTCAAAACACACGCGCACACACATTGCCCATTTGTCTCTCTACACTGCAAAGTGTAAGCAGAACTAAGAAATGAGCATAGACACAAAGATGAGCAAAGAATCAATGAGAGCTTCAAAGAAGAAGGTTTCATGCAGAAGGCTTGGAGGGTACCTCAAAGAGCAAAAAGGAAGACTATATATAATTAGAAGATGTGTTGTCATGCTTCTCTGCTGGCATGACTAGCTTGAATTAATTCCCAAGCATTCTTTTTTAACGTTTGTGTTCTCTCATATCGTGGATCAGCACATTCAAGAGTCCTCCAAATCCTAACTAAGGATCAAGTTCAAGCATGCACAAAAAGGGATAAGCATTTTGCTTGCTAGCTCTTTACTATTTCCCTATGTAAATAGCAGAGAAAGAAATGTTAAGAGACAATTTTCCTTCATATCATGCCTCAAAAATGTATGTTCTCTACCAGTAAAATTAAGCTAATTGGCAGTGAATTAATTTTTTTCAGTTTCTATTATGCACCTACCACAATATCATCATCATGAGTGATTCATGTATAGATTTTGATAACTTTTATTTTAATTGTTGAAGTCCTAACACAACACCTATTCTTTATCTGGACTTGGGGACCAATTATAGAATTATAGTTGGAATAGATTTGTTTCTTTTGATTTTGTATCAAAAACTCTTTCTTTATGAAAGGAATAACTAGAATTGACATGATTTATTCATTTTATATGGTTTGGTACGTTCTCAAAAGTATGGAGCGATCGGAAGTCCAGTAAGAATGAACTAACATAATGATGTGTTACTACAGTTTTTTAGTGAGTTTCAAGGTTAGATTTCAGCTTGTCATGTGATTAAAAAAAGAACACTAAATTGAATGTTTCTCGACTAGATGGAGAAGAATGATGCCTTTAAAGGTCAAAGTAAAAGTTAAAAATGAAAAGCGAAAATGCATAACACCTATATATATACCTACAAAAGAAGGACAAAAATGGGTGCTTATGAGCTCATAAGTGTGTTGTGTCTTTTACGTAGGCTCTATTTGTTGAGGTCTTGTCAACTCAAAGTTACATTATATTGCATTTTGAAAAAAAGTCGTGCATCACATGTGAGTGCGCCCAATGATATGACTCGTATTTCCATTTTTTTTTCATTGTTTCTGGACATGATTTGTTTTCTTTTACCGTTTTATCCACTTCTTGATTTGTCTCCTTTGGGTCACTATTTCATAAGACTTCCTCGTTGTAATATATGTATATTACATATACATGGAATAAATGTGTTTTGGTAGGTTGCATCTAAGAATTGTTACTGTTATTTCCATGTTTTACCAGCACAAATTTATCCTCCTTACTGTTGTGTCTTTTATGTAGGCTCTCTATTGTTATTTATTTTCTCTTGTCAACAATAATTGAGGCATTTTTGTGAGAACAAGAAATGTATGAAGTACTCCTATGAACTGGCTGCTGTAATTTTTTAGTCCATTATTATGATTTAGAAAAATTCGCATAATTAGTATTTCTATTCCTCTTTGACACTCAATGAACTTATCAAAGTATACTGTATATGGTGTGTTTAAAATATGTTTTGTTATGTTTTTCACTTATAATCATGCACATGGGCCATTATGTATGAGATCAATTTATATACTGTCTTGGACATAATGTGTAATCATGGTATTTAAATTTTCTCCAATTTTGACAGAAACTAGACATTTAGTTTTATTTTTATTTAAGCGAATTGGATTTGTTTAAGCAAATTATTTTTGTCTTAAACGAATTTTATGCATTTGAGAAGATAGAGGCTAAGTATAAAGAAAAGAGAGAACTAAGAATGGATGAAGATAAGGAGAGCGGATGGTACTGGAATGATGGAAGAGGAAGAGGAGGGTGGAGGGTTGAGTATGGAGAAAAGGAAAAAAGATAAGTATAGAATAGGATGAGAGTGAGAATAAAAAGAAAGGAGTTGGGTATGGGGTGGAGGAAAAAAGGAGTTGGGAGAAAAAGAGAATAGTTGGGTATGAGAGAATGAAGAAGGTTGAATATAGAGGCTAGAGAAGGTTGAACATAGAAGTTGAGAAGCGAATGTTAAGCATGAAGAGAAGGAGAAAGAAAAAGAAAAATTGAGAGAGAAGATGCAAAATTCACTTAAGTAAAAATGATTTACTTAAGTGAATTTGTAAAAATTTGTTTAAGTCAAAAAAATTGCTTAAACTAATTTTGCTTTAAAAAAATTTATTATTTTTTACTTTTTCGTTTAAACAAAAATAGAACTGGATGTCAAGTTTCTATAAAAAAAAAATCCAGATCCATGATCATGCACACCAAGACATCTTTATGCAATTAACGTATGAGCTTCTTAGATGTTTGATTTTATCTCTCTAATTACATTTTTGATAAAAAAAAAATTACTCTGTAATTATGTTTGAAATTCTTTTACCAACAATTTAAAAATAACTAAACTTCCATTTCAATTTCACTAATAAAAAAGTAATTTCATTTTACTTGCATAAATATCTTTAAGACTTGATAATATTGAGGATTAACTAAGGAATTCACAACTTTTCTTGTTTCTGATACTCTTGTTTTTTACGAAACTTTTTTTACTGTTTTAAAAGTGCTTTTATTTAATTATAGATATTTTTTTATAACTATTCTTAAAAAATGCCACAATTAAAAAAAAATTAATATTCTGTGTGACTCAATTTTAAAACCTAACTTATAAAAAAATATTTGCTTTAAGTCTTATTAAAAATATTTTAATTTTATTTTTAGATAACGTAAGAAATTCAAACATATATTATGAGAATATATTTTATTTTTTTTTGGTAAATGAGAATGCAGTTGTTTTCTTATATATCATTTTTTTCTTTTTTATTTTTGTATTTTTGACCGTGGGATATTAATAAGACCAATTTATTTTTCATATGACAATAAGTAAAGTATTTTTCCACCAAAATTTCATCTTATGATATCGAAGATCAATTTTGTTTTGGGCTCGGGTTTCATTGGTTTAGGATTTCATAAATATAAAATTTAGTTATACTTAATTCTGCAATTAATCGTAATTTTTTCATAGGCTTTGATTAATAATTTAATTTAATATCATATGTCTGGTTTAGAGTTAGTTATGATTCCTATAATTGGTTAATAGTACTAAAACCCTATTATTTATAATAGTACTAATACAATATTATAAACATATTAATTTTACAATGTATTATACTAATATTTAAAGGAAAATTTTGGTTAAAAAAGCTAAAATAATTGTTTATTCAAAATTATAAAAAATATATTTTAAATTTTATAATAACAATTCATTATTATTATTTTATTAATGAATGTTTTAAGACATTTAAAATATTGATAATATATACCAATATTTATCTATAAATTTTTCTGTTAATTTAACATTAATTTGTCAATATTTATATTAGTATTTCAATTTTTATTTAACAAAAAATATTACAATGCTACAATCTTTTTCTTGTGGCATTTGGAAAATGTCCATCTAATTAGGAATTCTATATATAAGAAATTTTTAAACTGTTTTTTGTCCTCTTTTGGAATCATAGCTACAGTTTTGAACTTCAACAATATTATAGCTTTTCATCTAAAATTTTGAGCTAAATTTTAATATTTGAGAATTCAGACATATATTTGCTATAAGAAGTGAGTGAGTAGCTCATTCTTTTTTGCACTTTTGTGCAGGTTTATTATCTCTGTTCACACATACACATAGATGAATATCAAGATATTTTTAAAATTATTTTTTATAATAAATATTTTATTTAATAATTATTTATAAATATGAAATTTTATTAGTTCAACTATTAAATTAATACTTTTTAAATGAATTATATAAAAAATATGTAAATGAAAATTACTTAATAGTTTATAAAAATTATTTTAATATCTAATATATTTATATTACAAAAAAAATAATTTCATTACAAGTCAATTATATATATTAATTTTAAATATAAATTAACTTTTCATTTTATTTTCTTAAATTATCACTAATCAAACAATTGTTTATAAATTTTAATTTAAAACAAATTAATCCTTACTAATTCGTTTAATATTACATTTATTTGGCTTGCCTTTTAGCAAACACTCCCAGTACAAGAAAAAGCACACCTATTCTCCCAAATTAATAGACACATAATACGACAGGCCATAGAGGGAGAAATTTTTCACACAAAATTTTATAGCATCAAAGTTCAAACACACTTGCACCCGTGCAGTCTAGTGCAGTGTGAGTGTATCAGAGATGGGTCAGGCTCCAAACAGTGTTTTCTCACTCTTTACTCTATTTTTACTTTTTAAGAATAAATATAAATATTTAAAAAATAAATATGTTCACATTTGAGCTAGACAAAAATATATTTATTTAGTCACATAAAAAATAAAACTTAATTTTTAAAAAATAATTATATTGGTAGAGAGGGAGAATATGGAGCCTTCCTATTAAGGGTCCAATGAACAGAGGGAACCTCATGATTCAATTAACCAGTGGAAAAGTTTGATTGGTCAAAGTGGCAGCTTTATCATGCACACATGCACCCCAAAATCCACATGCTCACTCACACCTTCTCATTGACCTGTGGTCGCTTTCATCATACCACCTCCATTACTCCCTGCTTTGATTCTTTTACAATACAAATGAATGGACCCACAACTTAAAGATATTGGCACCATTTTCAACCCAATTCATTTGTCTACAATCATGGAGATGGCTCACCTTACCTCTTCCTTAAACACATATTTCTCTGCAAAGAATAAAATTGAGTGAAAAATCATGAAGCCATAACACAAGCACCAGCTAGCAATGTGAAATGATATGATACATTACAAACAATCTATTGATACAAAATTGGCTGCAGCTAATGTAGTTTAAATAATCTTAAGAGTTTTGATTAAGCAACGACTTAAAGTATATTTTTGGGTGAAGAATGTTTTATTTATTTTACCTGATTTTTTCTATATGCTAAGCATCTCATCTTTTATATATATATATATATATATATATATGATTTAAGAATAGATTGTTTAAATCTTTGAAAGACATATATTACTCCTAGGATTCCCAAGATCACTTTATTAGTCATTTTAATCCCTGTATTGTTATAATATAAGTTTAACATTAGTAAAAATATACATTTTTTTTCCTAAAATATAATATATTTTACATGTATTTAACATGACTTCAACCCTTTTCTTATAATT